CACAGTAGTTGGCAGAGTGCCTCATTCACTATAAACCTTGGTGGTACCTATCAGTCAAACCATGTTTTAAACTCAGACTCATTCAACTCAACTATGGCATTACACCAAGCTTGCACCCAAGCAGTAGAATGAATGTTGTTAGAGGAGCACTCAGAAGTCTGAGCCACTCCACCAACCTGAAACAGGCTCCATGTCTATTACTCCTCCACCACTGACTGCCTAGATTCACTTTCTCACTCTCTAAAATGATTATTTCACACACGTTCTCCATTCTCAAACCTTCTACATCTTATCTTTCCTCCTCAGAGAATGCTGACCTCTTCTTTTTTGGAGAACATCAGAACCAGTCAGAAGCAGGGTTGGGCTGATAAAAGGCTAATAACTGGCTCCCCAGGACTTGATTTGTAGGATTTGCCAATTCTCATAGTGTAAATACGTCCATCTGCTAATTTCAAGTGAAATCAACTGGCTTTAAAAATTCTGGAAAATTTAACAATTGGCTCTCACAAGCCAGTGTGAGTCGAATCTAGCACACTTGGGGGATTGATTTTTCACCAGCTACCAGCTACATACTGACAACTCTTCAAATCACATTTCCAATCTAGATATGGTTCTGAACTTCAGAAATAACTGGATCTCCAGCTGCATACTTAAAATCTCCTCTTAAATGTCTGTCGGGCACATCAGACAGCATATTGACCTTATACTAGAATATGAAGTCTATGAGGTAGGGGGCTGTACTTTATTACCTTTGTTTCAGAGTGTTAAAAAGAAACTCTTGAAGATTTTTTTTTTGTAAATTTACTCCTTTCTCAGTGTTCTTTATCTCAGGAAATCACATGCACCCAGATAGTGAAGTCAAAAAAGAAGAGTCATTCTTTTTAAAAAAAAATTTTTATTAAAAAAATTTTTTTATTAAATTGCATGGACAGAGAAGCCTGGTCGCCTACAGTCCGTGGGGTCGCAGAGACACCACTAAGTGACTAACATGCACAAAATGCATAGTTAATTTACAATGTTGTGTTAGTTTCAGGTATACAGCAAAGTGATTCAGAGATATATATATATATATATTTTATAGTTTTCCATTATGGTTTATTACAGGATACTGAATATAGTTCCCTGTGCTATACAGTAGGGCTTTATTGTTTATTCATTCTATATATAATAGTCTGCATCTGCTAATCCCAAGCTCACAAGCCATCCCTCCCCAGCCCCTTGGCAACCACAAGTCTCTTCTCTATGTCTGTAAGTCTGTTTCTGTTTCCTGGATACATTCACTTGTGTCATATTTTAGACTCCATAAATAAGTAATATTATATGGTATTTGTCTTTCTCTTTCTGACCTTTCTTAGTATGATAATCTCTAGGTTCAGCCACAGTGTTGCAAATGGCATTGTTTCATTCTTTTTTATGACTGCTTAGCATTCTATTGTATATATGTATCACATCTTCTTTTTCCAGTCAGTGGACATTTAGGTTGTTCCCCTGTCTTGGCTATTATGAATAGTGCTGCTATGAACATAGGGGTACATGTATTGTTTAGAATTATAGTTTCATCCCTAGGACCAATGCAGCAGCCAATTCCTTTAACTGGAATGCCCACTCCCAACAGATGGGCAAATGACTGTCTCTTTCATGTCATCCACATCTTAACTCCAAAATCACCTGTGAAGAAAACTTTTCCCTGACTGTGCGTCTTGAAATATCCGCTCGTACCTCCCTAATACATATCTTGTCTTTTATTTTAGTCATTTTCCTTATTCGTTTATTCATTTGTGCACTTGTTTCTATTCTGTCTCCATTTGATTTTAAAGTCAGTGAGAATGAGAACCTTTGTATCTATTGAAAGTATGCTCTGCACTTACAATGGGGCACATAATAGTTGTTTCCTAAAAATAGAGTGACTACTAGAGAACATAGCCAGGGAAAGTCTCTCAGTGGACACGTCTGTTCAGCTGGTGCTTGCATTCTTTTTAGAGGCCAGGAGAAAGGATTCCTTACTCAGTTTTGCAAGAAGCTCTTCTCTGACTTCTTAGGGTGAAGAGATGGGTGGGATCATGGATAAAGAATTGAACTTAGGAAAAGACAAAAGTTCACATATTTTCAAAATTCCATGTTTTTACTAGGTCTTTTAATGTTGTTCCTTGTTATTACTATTCAATATCTTGTAGCAAGAGGAAACTGATTTTGGAAAAAGAATTTTCAGAAAAAAGAAAAAGGCTGGAATGGATGTAAAAAGAATTTACCAGAACACTACCAGCAGAGGGGGTATAGCTCAGTGGTAGAGCATTTGACTGCAGATCAAGAGGTCCCCGGTTCAAATCCGGGTGCCCCCTTTCCTGGTTTTCCATTTTTCACAGCCGCAGGCTAACACAAAAGTCTGTGTTCTGAATCCAAAACTCTCTGGAGATTCTCAGAAAGTACTGTTAACCCTGAGAAGTAGAGAGAGACACAGTAGAAGTCACACAGGAATGACTGCACTACTTTTCCTGTGAGCACTCTAACCCAGTGGCAAGAAGCCCACCCACCTGTACTCTCAGAAGGTAGAAAGAAGGCTGAGACCTTTCCAGTTTGAAATCCTTCAAGACTTACTGGTTTGATGTTAATCATAGTTTCTTTGGAGGGGAAGAAATGGAATGCCTGGGCGGGGCAATATTATTTTGCCTAGTTCATAACAGCGGCGAAGTCACAGCACAGATTTAAGATGAAAAGTGGACGGCTTTCGTCTTCTCTGTATTAGCTCAAAGGCAGGGTTTTGGCCTGATAAACCTGCAGGTGGAGTTTGAGGCCTGGTGTCCAGGAACGGGGTGAAAAATTAGCTCTTTCTCGCCTCTGGGCTTTGAACGGCACAGCAGCTCTGCTTAATCGCCATGTCCAGCTGCACGACTTGTCTTTCGGTAATGCATGCTCAGTCACTCAGTCGTGTCCCACTGTTTGCCACCCCAAGGATAGATCCTCAGCCCATGGGATTTCCCAGGCGAGAATACTGGGGTGGATTGCCACTTCCTTCTCCAGACAGTAACGGGAGTCCTGGGGGAAAAAATATTCGAGTAGTATTCCCCTGGGGCCCTGAGGGATGACACAACCAAATTCCAAGTTTAAAATACCACAAATTCCCCCTGACTCAAGAAGCAAGCCTCTCCCACTATCCTTTCTTTTTCCTTTTTTTGGGCAAAACCTAGTCGAGAGGGTCGATCTTGCTGCCTGATCTTTTTCCTTGGACCCAACAGTGATAACCGCCAGTCACACAGTGGACAGTTATCTGTCCTCATCTTTAGGTTATGAAACTTAATGGTCTTGTATTGTTTGCTCAGTGGTTCTCAAAGTGTGGTCCACCAGCATCAACACCCCCTGGGAATTTGTTAAGAATGCAAATTCTTGAGGTCCCCTTCCAGGCCAAGAGTATCAGAAGCTGGTAGTTGGGGGGGGGTGGTGGTGGTGGTAGTGTTTTAAGGAGCTCTCTTTAATTCTGACACACTCAAGTTTGAGAACCACTACATTAGTTTATATCAGGATGTAACTTTATTTTTGTAAATTAAAATGAGCTTTTGGGTCGGTATTGACCATTTCCACATTTTCAAATTGCTTTCACTGTGCTGGTGTTATGAGCAATAAGGAAAGGTGCTTAGGGCACGCGCTTGTCACCGGTAATAAAGAAAGTTGAAGCTGGAGAAAATCTGTGTCTGTGGGTTTTCTTCTTTTGACCCACCCCTACCCAAAATGAAGCACCAAGGTGGGGGAGTCTTGCCTCCTGAACCAGCGCCTGGAACCGCCTTACACGACTGAGGCTGCCGCCGGTGACCGCAGAATGCCGGTATCTCCGGCGTGGGTCGTGGGGACCTGAAGTTTTTGTACCTGATTTGTGCCTGTACCCACCCCCTTCTGCTGCTGAGTACGAAGTAAAACCGAAAGCCTTCCGTTACGGTTGGAGAATGAGGAAGGAATTTTAAAATAGCTTTTCTCTGTTTTCTCTAACCTAGGACCTGAGGTTAAAATATGGATTAAGAAGGAAGTAATTATACTAGACAAAAATTAGGAAGAAATCTCCAAGGGGGCACCCGGATTTGAACCAGGGACCTCTTGATCTGCAGTCAAATGCTCTACCATTGAGCTATACCCCCACGCCGCGCCTTGGCTTGGATGCGGCTCTTTCGGTTGTTAAGACACTGCTACACTAAATGGGAACAGTAAAGGTAAGTAAGGAGAAAGAAACGCAAGAGGAAAAGGGATCAAGCGCAAAGCAGAAGGTCGATGGATTCGGGGAACTACGGGAAAGTTGCACGGCAGAGGCGCGGGGGCGGAAGAACTAACCCGGTCTGCGAGGGACTGAGTCCTGGAGGGAGGGACGGGTTCCGCCCTACAAACTGTGGGAGAGGATGTTGCAGGGCATGGCTAACATCCTAGGGGCGGGGCAGGGGGGTTCCCGTTGATCCGCAGATTTCTCGCCAGGTACCGACGGGTGCAAAGAAGTCCCCAAACCTGGCAACTCCGGTTGGGTGTTCGAGTGGGTTCGAACCCCAGCCAGGACAGTTGCGAAGGGCTCGCCCGCCCTGCAGCCCAGGTGCCTAGATGTGCAACCGGATCGCCCCCGCCCCGCCTCCAGCGGCGGAAGGGCCCTGGGCAAGGTCGCCTGTCCGCGCCTGGCCTCCGGGCGCATTCCAGGGCCCTTTCTGCTCGCGAGCTCACCTAGGCGCGTACTGCTGGGCCCGCAGTCCTCCCTGGAACCCGCCCCCGCGCAGTCTCACGTCGCCGGGAGAGCGCGCCTCGCCGCGCGCGCCCCTGCGCGCGCCCGCGGCGCGTCCCCGCCCCGGCACAGCCCCTCCTCCCCGCTGTGTTTATTAGGGGAAGGAGGGCGGGGGCGGAGGCCAGTTCCCTAGCTCTAGCCGCCGTCGCTGTAGCCTTTGCAGTTAAAGCCGCGGCCGTCTCCCGCCAGCTCGCTCGGGGGAAAGAGAACGCGCGCGAGCTCGGGCGTCCTCGCCCCAGCCTTTCCCGGAGCCATGAATCCTAACTGCGCTCGGTGCTGCAAGATCGTGTACCCCACGGAGAAGGTGAACTGTCTGGATAAGGTGAGACTCGGGACTGGAAGACGGGTCTTTGCAATCCCCGAGCTCTAGATCGGAGGAGGAGAGCGGGGCTGGGTCTCTGCCGCCCCGTTACCGCGATCCCGGGAGGAGGGAAGGTGGGTGGTGTCATGGGGTGTGAGGGACGGACCCCAGTCTGGAAACCAGGAGATCCTGGGAGAGGAAACGAGTCCACGCTTGGCGGGCAGCCTCTACTGGAGAGGAGTGGGCTCGGTGCCCCGGGGTGGGGAAGCCGGGCCCCGGAGTGGGGGTGGGGGGAATGAGGGAAGGTTAGGGGTGCAGTCCCGCCCCCTAGGGCCGGGAGAGTGAGAGCAGACGGCCGCTCCCTCTCCCCGCCTCGCCGAGCGCCAAGTAGGCGGAAGCGCTGGGCGCTGGGGGAGGGGGCGGCGGGGGGGCGGCGCAGAGGTTGGGGGCCCCTGCTAAGCAGTCCGCTCCGGCGGCTACTGGCCCGGCTTCCTGGCCTGGAGACTGGAGGGTGGGGGCCGTCAGCGGGCAAGTGTTGCCTCTGGTGAACTGGCCTTCGGATAAGGACCCGAGCCCCATCGCGAGAGCCCTTTTTTTGGACGACCTGCAGCCCTCTTGGTGGTTCAGCGGTTAATGGACTAACCGGCGTTCTCCATAGCTTCCCAGCCCCCACCTCAAATTAGAAGCCCACTCCCAGCGTTGGTCCGCCCTGCGGGACCCGGGCGGGGTCGCTTGCTGGAGTAGGGTGGGTGGGGGTTGCCTCACTGAGATCTCCTGAAATTGTGTTCAGAGGCTGAGTCCACCCTGAAGAACAAAGAGCTAACTTTTCAGAGCAGGTTTCCCCAATGGAGGGTGGGGTTGGCTGAGTTCAGGGGGAGCCAAGAAAAGGGGGGACGTGTTGGGGGGAAGGGAAGGTGGCCTTCTGGAAATTCACTGTCCTCTGGGGGCCCTTAGGCGGCTTCCTCCCCACCCCCCCAACCCCCGTCATGCTGGGCTCGTTCATCTGGTTGCCATTATACTTTTTGAAGCGGGGCGGAGAGTGGAACTGGGTATTTCCTGCAGTTTGGGGTAGGATCCGGACCTCTTTTAATCTTGCTAAGGTCCTAAGGCAATCCACCTCCCCTCTCATCCCCTCCTTGGTCTGGAGGAGAGGCCTCTAGAATTCTGTCCCCTTCTTCATCGTGCCTTTCATTCACCTCCTAAAGCTGGCCCCCTGTCCACATATTCCCTCCTTCCCGTCTGGACTGGCCAGGGGTTGGGGGCATGGGATGGAAGAGGGTGCAGGGCCCACCTGGAGTCAGGTATTTTTTGTGGGGGGGGGGCGGGAAAGGGTCGCTCCTTGGATTCTTTTGTCTTTCCCCTCCTCCTTAGGGTTGGCGCTTCCTCAGTAACCTTTGGCCTCTGAGTCAGGGTGAGGGGGTGGGGTTCCATGGTTCTGAGATCATTTTGATACTGCTCTTGGAGGAAGGGATCATGTGGGGCTGGTGCTGTTTCAGTCTTCTCTCCTGGGCCTGGCTGGGCAGGAGAAGAGAAAGGCCATGTTATGGTGCAATGAGTGTGGGTGCTGACCTTCCCAAAGACCATGCGGGAGGGCAGGACTTGAGCCTGGGGGCAGGAGCTGAGAGCTCTCTGGCCTTGCACACTGGTGTTTCTGCTCTTCCCTGGTGGGAGGGATTTTGGCCTCTGTGTCTTGAGTTCCTTGTGCTCCCCTTCTGCACAGTCATGAATTGGGAAGAGGCAACGGCCACTTTCCACCCACATAAGGCAGAAGCAGTGTCTGATGGAAGGACTGCTAGCCTGGGCGTTGGAAGACTTGGTCCTAGTTCCAAGTCTGCTCACCACCAGCTCTATGAATGGCTCTAGGCCTCAGTGTTCACAGCCTGTCAGATGGGTATGATGATGTCATTTCCATGAAGCTGGAGAGGTGCACTCAAGTGCCTGTCACAGCGCCCGGAAGGGGATGTGGTATAGGCTGTGCGCCCTCTCCTTTTCTGGGGTACTCTGTCCAGCCCCATACCTGGCTTTCCCTGTAAAGACCTTTGGTGTCCGAGGGGAGGGTGCAGACCTTTTAAGTCGCCCTCCCCAGCTGTTTTCTTTCCCTCTCAGGAAGAGGACATTCAGGTGGAGGGCGCCCTGGGAAGTGAGAGTTGGCGGTTCCTCTCTCTTCTTAGATCTCTGCCTACAGGAGGTTTCCCTGGGGAGATGTCACACCCCTGCCCTGGAATATCCAGGTATCAGACTGGTTCCTCCCAATGCCCTCCAGGCAGTAAGGGCAGACACTAGGAATGGGGGTCTGATGCCTGAGGAGGGACGTTCAGTCCCATAGACACAGTTGCTAACCAGCTTCCCAAGACAACCCATTTACAACAGGAGAGAGTCAAATTAGACTCACCTGTTTCACTGCAAGTTCCTAGGACCTGCCATGACCCAGAGCACAAGCTGCGTCCTTGGTGTCAGCCTTTCCTCCTCTCTGAGCCTTATCTCCTTAAGGCTTAGGTGAGTAAAGGCTGCATCACCTCTGATGGCCACCCTACCGTCACCTTGCATTACCCAGCGTGTCCTCCTGCTGAATAAATGTGTATGGCTGGCCACGGTGTTTGAGGTTGAGATTTGTTTCCCCAACTTATGGGCTTAGAGTTGGGGAAGAAGCAGGGTGTTGTTGCTTGCTCATTCATTCAGTGAATATTAAGCACCCTCTCAGGCTCCTGCAGGGCCTCTGCAGAGGGAGAGAGGCTGTGTCTCAGAGTGTCTTCTACCTTTTAACAGACTTGGAGTTTGGCCCTAGATCACATTGGGAGGCATTAACATGGGGACTGGTCGAGTCCCCCTGGCCTGGCTTGCTTTTGCCAAGCACCTGAATACAGATGGAGGCGTTGAGGAGGGTAGAGGATTGGTGGGCTGAGTCCCTTGGACTCCCCCATTGGGAGGGCTCCCTGCCTCTGGTTGTCTGAAGTACCCTCCTCTCTCCCTGTCACCCCCCAGGTGGCAGCAAGGTAGAAGCAAACGGGCCTGGACACAGACGAGGGGAAAGGCCTGTAGCCCTGGTGCCTCGTTTCCTAGCCAAGAGCACCCCACAGTCATCCCATGCATAGACTCCTTGGAATGTGCCAGGCTAAGTCTTCCCAGGAGCCTCACAGAGCAGATGCTATGGCTCCTGTAAATTATGACCCCCGTAAGCAGAGGCCCAGACAGGTCATGAGGTTCACTCCCCGCAGCCCGAGCTGGAATTCAGCTCTAAAGTTCTTGGTGCTCAGCTCTTCTGCCTGTTGTGTTTGCAAAAAAGTACTTTAATTTACACTATCTCCCTAATGTTTGTAGTGGGCCCTCCCCTTCCTGACCCTGGCCTGTGGAATGCTCGGGGCCTGAGCTCTTGAACCAGGAATAATACTCCCTGGGAATCTGGGGAGGTGCAGCCATGGTCTCTGCCTTTAAGCCAGCCTCCCAGGTGGCCAGCTGAGTTAGTGACCGGGCCAGGGTGGGGCTACTGTTGCCCCTGGAGGAGTGAGAAACTGTAACCCTGGGTGACAGGAAGGGAGGGAGAGGTCTCATACTCTAGCCCTGAGTCATAGGGCGCCCGGGTGGTGAGGGTGGAGTGGGCAAGATCCCAGGCGGCAGGCACAGCGACCTGAAGTTCACTGCACCCCCCACCCCCAGAGCTGTGAGCAGTTGCTCCCCCCACCTCTACCATGACTCCAGAGAGAGAAGGCTGACCCCAGCCTTGTCCAAGTGCAGGGGATCTTGCTTCTGTCCCCAGCAGCCTCAGTTTGCCTTTCTGTGGAGTGGGTTGCAGCTTTGGAGCTCCAGGCCAGGAAGAGTGGAGGCTGATGCTGGAGCCTGGGACATGGGCTGAGAGGCTGCTAACGGGCACCAGAGAACTAGGTTTTGGTGAACAGGGAAGCCGTGGACTTCCAGGGCAGTGGGGAGGATTCGAGTTGCATGTTTAGCGGTAACTGCTCGCTGAGTCCTGGGAATGCTTCTCTGAAACCTTACCTGTGGCCTGTAAGAAAGAGGGGACTCTTGCTCTGTGGCAGGGCTCCTGGGGCAGAGAAAAGAGGCGGACAGAGGGTCACTGTGGGGTGTTACTGACGTGTTTCCCTGACTGTGTCCGTTACCAGACCTGACTGAGACAGGGAAGGGTGTCTTTTCATTTGGGGTCTCCTTGGGTCTTCCTGGTCCACAGGGGCTATTGAATGACTTGCCATTTTCTGCCCCCCATTCCGCTCACTCTCCTGTCTCCAAAAGGACACAGTGGTGGAAGCTGCTGGATTTTCTTGAACCTTTCTTGGCGTCTTCCTCCAGAGAGGGGAGGGAAGCGAGGCTAGGTCACCTCCCAGCACCTCCATGGGACTGGGATTTTAGTTCCAGTTTACAGATGAGTTCTGTAGTTACCCGGAAGGCATTCAGTCCCCTCCTTTTCATTATTCTTTTCCTGGACCCCCCCGTAAGAGAACAGATGACCACTCCCTAGCCTCTAACGTGTCTAGCTGTGAGCAGGAGGTGTCTGGAGGTGAGGTGGGGAAGAGCTATAGATAGAAATGGGCACTGTTCCCTTGTATGGGGCTCCGCTTCCTTCCAGTGGTAGCTGGCGGCAGGGGGTGCCTTGGAGAACCCCTGGATTGGCTGTGGGCCCTGTACCCTAGCCTGGTCGGTATACTCTGCCCCCTTCCCAAGGGGCTTGGCTCCAGGGTGGGTACCTGGCTGTGAGCTAGGGTGCACGTGTCTGCGTCTCTCCCTTTGTCTCCCCCAAGTCAATCAGGGGGGCACCTTTGGAGGTCCCCAGGACAGTGCGGATTCCTGCCTATGTTTGTGTGAAAGTGGGTCATGGTCTGGATTCCAGAGAATGTTTTTCCTGGCAGGCCCCTGCGGGGGTGGGGGGAGGCGGGGGCCCAGGCAGGGGCATGTGCGGCTAAGCAGGCAGAGGCCAGCAGGCTGGTTGGTGACAGAGCTGGGGCACTCTGCCAGCACCTCCCAGGCATTGCGGGAGGCTGGTGGGGGGCAGGGATCACTCTGTTCTAGGTTTCCCGTGGGCTGTGGGATCAGCCCAGGTTGGGTTGGGAGCCCAGCTTCACCAGCCTCCTCTTTGCTTCCAGACTTCCCCTGGCCTTCTTCCCAAAGAGCGGTTCTCCTGCTCCTTTGGTCACTATTCCACTCCTGAAGAGGCCTTTGGGCCTCCTTGATAGGAAAAGTACCCTATTAGAAGGTGACTACCCCCCCCCACCCCACCCCCCCCACACACAATTACCCTGTGGGCTCTGGTCAACACGGGCCAGGGTGAGGGAGGTGGTATCCCAACCTCTTAACCTTTTTTTCTGTCCCTTTCTCCCAAGTGGCCCAGAAGCACCTCTTGGCTGGGAAATACATTTGAAAAGCACTACCTCGGGGGAATTTCTTGATAGGTGGCCAAAAACCAGGTGTTTGCTGGGTACCTTGAAAGTCTCCCCATGCCCTTCCCTGGCTTCTGGCCTCGTTCTCTGAGGAATCAGGAGGATGTCCCTTGGCTCCTGGGAAAGGGAGCAGGGAAAGGCCAGCTGGGTCACCCCGGCAGCCCAGATTCTGGGGCCCTGGAAGCTGGGCTCCTGGTAGGTGCTATCACGGGCCTCGTCCTGGGCTGCCAGGTGCCGGGGGTGAGTCTCTCATCTGCCGGGATTTTCTCGAGCTTCAGCGTTTCTCGGGATGGGGTCACCTCTGTTATATCACTTCCCCTGCCCTCGTGGTCTTGGACACTATTCCCCTCCCTTGGCGGCCCTGGATTGATCCTCGCTCTGTTCTGGGTCCCTGGCCTTTGCTGGGGTGTTTCTGGTCACTCAGTCTCACTCACAGGTCTTCTAGCTGTGATTGGGCACAGTAGAGCCCCGCCTTCACCCCAGCACTCACACACCTCCTGCCCAGCCCCCTCAGCTGAGGGTCACCCCTGCCACACCCAGCACCTGGCATTTGAGTACTTAGAACTGCCGGGTGCTGTGCTGAAGGTTTTATAGGTGATTTTTCATTTATTTATTTATTTTGTGTGATTTTTCATTTAAACCTCAACAGTCCCCAAAGAGATGGGTATTAAGGTTTCCATTCTGCAGACACAGAAGTGGCTCAGAGGTGTGGGTCCTGACCGAGGTCACCCAGCTAGCCGGGGTGGGGCTGTGATGCCCACTATGCAGGTGGGAGATCCACCTCCAAGCAAAGCTCTATTGCCTCCGAGGGAGACCCGCTGAGGGATGAGACCAGCTGAGAGGTGGGAGGGGGTGAGGGGAGGGAGGGAAGTGGTGTGGATGTACTGGCTAGAGCCTGGGGCACTCACCCATACTCTGGGCAGGGGTCCCTCAGGAAGAGGAGGCATTGGGGCTGGCGCCTTGCCCAGGCCCACGTGTGTCTGGTGTGGGATCTGGGAAGGCCTGGGTGCATGGGGGCTGGGCCCTCCTGTCCCCCTAGACCTTGTCTAGGCTGAGGTGCTGCACCTCAATGTTCAGCAGCAGCGGCTTCTTAGCAACGCCTGGTGCAGCTTTGCATAAGCAATGAGGCTTCTCCTCCTCAGGCAGGCAGGCTGCAGGAGTGGTCTGGGGGAGGTGGAGCCAGTCTTCGGGGGTGCAGGGGGGTAGTTTTTCCCCACTCACTCTGGGGGCTGCCCTTCTTCCCCTGCAGACAGGATCAGTGGGACAGAGGAAGGTGTCATCAGCTGTTGGAGCCTGTGACCTGAGATGTCCTTGGCTCACTTCTATGGCGGGGGGTGGTGTCTGTTCCAGTCCCAGAGAGGAATGCTCCTTCCTGGGGCTTGAGCCCCCTTCCTAAATCCTACTTATCTGACGGTGTCCTCCCTCTGCCTCTGCCCCCAGTTCTGGCATAAAGCATGCTTCCACTGCGAGACCTGCAAGATGACCCTCAACATGAAGAACTACAAGGGCTACGAGAAGAAGCCCTACTGCAACGCGTGAGTCCGCCTCGGGCAGGGGCTGTTGGGCGGGCACTTAGGGCTTCCCTGGTGGCTCAGATGGTAAAGCGCCTGTCTGCAGTGCAGGAGACCTGTGTTCTATCCCTGGGTCAGGAAGATCCCCTGGAGAAGGAAATAGCAGCCCACTCCAGTAGTCTTGCCTGGAAAATCCCACAGACGGAGGAGCCTGGCGGGCTACAGTCCATGGGATTGCAGAGTCGGACACAACTGAGTGACTTCACTTTCACTTTCATAGCTTCCTTCTGTTCTGATACCCACAAGGTGGCGGGGCCCAGCATTTCCACACTCTGCTCCACACGTTTTAACTGTGTTGAGTCTTCTTTACCACGGCTGGATGATAGTCAGGACTGTTAATATGCCCAGTTTACAGAGCAGGAAACTGAGGTTTGAGGAAGGGAAGGGACTTTCCCAAGATGAATGACTAGCGAGAGCCTGGTTCAGTCCCTGTATAGCTAGCTTATTCTCTCCACCGCACTCTGCTGCAAGGGAGGGATCCACGTGGTCTTTCAAGAAAAGGTCCTGTTTCTGGCCTGTTGTGTTCTCCGAGTTACCTTCCACATTCTCACTGTGACGGCAGCTGACTTGTCACCTCTCCCCTGCCCTGTCTCTACCAGAGAATCTAGGCCCTGGGCCTGGGGGCCCCCTGACTGTCATTTCTTGAGACTGGGGAGCAGCATGAAGGGTGTGGCCTGACCCTAGGCAGAGCTCTTCCCTGCCTGCTGAGGGAGGCAGAGAACTTTGTGTCTTTTTCAGTGTGAGTTTGCTCTGGCCTGGTGTGGAGAGGTGGGTCGAGGTGGGGTCTCCCATCCTAGGGAGACACCCTGTCCCCTCCCTTGTAGTTTCAGAGAATGCAGCGCCTTCGGGTTGATCATGTGCAGGTCTGGGCTCATGTAGGACTTCACAGCCTTGCTGCTCTGTGGGGGGCTTTGGAAGGTCAAGTCACTTAAGTAGGCGGCAAGGTCAGCATTCAAAAAAATTTAGGATCTGACTTGAGTCCCTTTATAAAAGCACTATTTCTGTATTTATTTATTTGGCTATGCTGGGTCTTAGTTGTGGCATGCAGAATCTTTAGTTGTGGCACGTGAACTCTTTGGTTGTGGTATGTGGGATCTAGTTCCCTGACCAGGGCTTGAACCCCGAGACACATGCATTGGGAGCACAGAGTCTTAGCCACTGGACCACCAGGGAAGTCCGAGTCCTTTTTTTGTTTTTTACCTTTTTAAATTCTCAGCCTGGAGGCTTTCTACAGCTGAAGTTCACATAGGAGGGGAACTTTGGGATTTGTCTAAAAGGAGTTGGGGTCTTAAACCCCTTTGAATGGCTGTCTCCCCCTTCCGGGAGATAGTGAAGGACAAGGAAGCGGACATGACTTAGCAACTGAACAACAACTCCCCCTTCCTGTCTTCCCCTCCCTGCTCACACTACAGCCTCATCTCCTTGGCTGGAGCCTGCATCAGGCACTTACTGCCTGCCGGTTGCTAGATGCCAACCTGTGCCAGGTGCTGGGAAAACCGATAAAATCTCAAGCCCAAGAAGCACCATGAACCTCCTCCCTTCTGGGAGGGACTGGGACGCTGGGGAGACTGCTTGGGCTAGAGAGAGGGTCACAGCTAGGTCTTGGCTCCTCCTTCAGCTGCCCCTTCTCTATTAGCTCTACTGGTCCTCTTTCCCCTGCCGACCCCTCCCATCCTCCCCCCAAGGGAAATGGGACATTCTTCAAATTCTTAAAGGCTCACACAAGCCCTGATTCTCTGCCACTTCCTCCCTCTGTTGGGGAGTAGGGTGGGGTGCGGCAAAGCCATAGGCTGGGGCGGTTAACCCCTTGATTGCTGGCCCACTTCAGGCTAGTTTCTGGGCACGAGACTCCTTTGGGGTCAGCTTCTGAGCCTCTGCTCCTCAAGGCAGGAGTCTGGCGGAGCCCAGAACTCAGTGGGCAGCAGGGACTGAGGCGTCTTCCTGTCTCTTCCGGAGACTCTGGTAGCCTAGAATTCAGTGAGCTCTGGGAGTTGGAGGAAGAAATCAGGCTTGTCCTTGTTTTCTCTGTGTGTTCTCAGCCTAGTACCAAAAAGTCCCAGCTTACTTTTTTCACCCTCTTCTAGGAGGCTGCAGCCAGTAGGGGTGGGGAGCTCCTGTAGGGCTTGGGGGGCTCCAGGGAAGGCAGAAGATGACACACCCCTCCCAGATGCTGCTTCCCACCTGCCCAGGGTGAAGTTCTCCTGCCTCTCCTGGCCTCCAGCCAGAACTGCAGGTTGATCCCTCTCTGTTCCCCCAGCCTTCACAGCTCTTATTCTTCCCCGCCCAGCTGACCTTTGACCTAGCTGGGTTGTTACCTGGGAAGGACCCAGGAGGAGGGGCCAAAGACTTGGGGAATTTGTGACCCAGCTGTGTTTCTTGGGAACTCTGGCAGCACCTTGCCTGAGGCAGCCACACTCCCTTAAGCCAGAGTCTGCTGAGTGGCTGGTCTGTGCCAGTGAGCCAGACAAGGGATTCTGGGGTATCTCAGATGCAGGCCCAGCTTGTTTTGGGCACACTCTGGACTTGTCTGGTCCTCAGTTATCCCGCGGTTCAAAATTCCCACCTAGGGATGCTGGAGCCTAGACCAGTTTTACTGAACAACTGTGCTGTGCCAGGCACTGTGCTGAGTGTTCACTCTCATTCCTTCCTGTTTTCTTCCTGCCTCTGACCCCATCCACCCGTGACATTCAGGTTCCCCAGTCTCGGGATTTCTAGGCTATAGCTGTGCCCCAGTTCCCAGCCTGGCCTTACTGTGTGACGCTCAGGCGTGGCTTTTCAGTACTTCCTGCTCAAGACCCAGAGGGACAAGTGATCACTCCTGGCCCCAGGCCCTTTGCCAGGGAGTGAGCCCACCTAGGGAGGGTGTATTCGAGTTGGTGTGCAGGGGGGCCTCTGCGTTCTCTGGTTAGTCCCTGAGCCAGGATCTTGCAGGAGGGTGGGCAAGAGAAAGAACACTGTCTGTTTCTCCCTGGTGGGTTCTGAAGACTGAGATTTAAGTTCTGGAAAGTGACTGAAGGCAGCAGAAAGGCCTCTTGTATTTTCTCTTTTCACCAGACTTGTCTGGGGTGAGGCTGGGGAGAGAACACAGGCCAGAGCCCGCAGCCGGCCTTCTGGGTGGTAGTGGACCCCCAAGGCCGTGCATTCACACACGTGCCTCTGGATATCCAGACACACGCCGCCGGCTGTGGGGCCAGGGGTAAGCGCCAGGGAATTGGACTGAATAGACCGCGTTTGTGTTCATACTTCCCAGGCCATTGGCACCCAACACTGCTATGGCAAGGTAGAGGGAAGCATGCCTGTGTTTGTATAATTCTTTCTCGAAGCATCTAGGTAGGTGAGGTGAGCCTGTTCCATTGGTTAGAGGAATATATATGCCCTCAATTTATGCCCTCGATGATTTGTTTTGTAAACTACTTTTTCTGAAAGTGGGGCAGATCTGGTCACAATTACAAACCTGGTCCTTTGTCTGTCTCCAGGCAAATAATTGAAGAGCCTGGAGGTCGGGGTGGGGCTGGGTGGGGGTGGGGAGGAATGTTCCTGTTCTTCCTCCTTGGAGCCCCTGAATCAGTGGAGGCTGCCAACCTGAGGCAGTTGCAGGCCCGGGGGACCAGCTTCTGGGGTGTTAAGTGGACTGGGGCTGGGGAAGAAAGAGGAATGCTCAGTTGTATCTTTCTGGGCCTGTCCTTCAGTTGCCTTGAGCTGTGGGCTGAGGGGCTGAGGAGGGTGGAGGTGTCCCTGGTTCTAGGGAACGAGAGACTGTGGTCCTTTCCCTAGGCCTCGGGGGTGAGGTGGGACTTGTGCTGGTGGGGCTTGAAGTATCTCTGGGGTCTAGTTAACTGGGGATGGGGCAGTGGCAGGCACATCTAGGACCGGGGTCTGGGGCTCTCCCGCCTCCCCAGAATTCTCTGCCTCTGACTGTGAAAAATGAGATCAGGAGAAGGGAGTAGGAAGGGGTGTGTATGCTATGTTTAGGGGGGCAGGGAGTCCAAAGGGGCACACATAGTAACCTCTAGGCAGCCCCCACCTCACTCTCACCTTCCAGCTCCTTACACTGAGACGTCAGGGCCTCAGGAAACCTCAGGGATCACTTTGCTTCCTAACAGCCCATTTTATGGATGAGGAAACTGAAACCCAGTGTTTCCATGCCTTTCCTGACTAGACATGATCATTTCTCTTTGTGTATTGCCATCGATTTTGATTTTTCGTTTTATCTACAACCCCTGAGGGCTGGTCAGTTCTTCTTCTTGTCTAGCCTTGATCTTTTCAGCTGCTCATTTTTTCCTCTGGTCAGACAATGCCTCTTTGTTGTTGCCTGTCCCCACCGTTTTGCCCCTTAGGCCTGGGGGACTGGTGAAAAACAGGGTTAGAGGGGAGTCCTCCCTGACTGCCCATGGGCAGTGTTCCCAGCAGGGGGATCAGTAGCTCCTTCCACAGGCAGGATGTCAGGGCTGTGGGTTGTTTTTCTTTTTTTTTATTCCCCTTTTGGCGAAACCAAAGGCTCGTTGTTGCTTTTTTGCTGTATTTTTGTTCCTCCTTGAACAAAAAGCTGTGGCTTTTGAAGGGATCCAAGGCTGAAAGGGGCAAGGCTGCCTGTCAAAAGCGGGTACTGGGCTTCCAGGATACTGGTCTATTCTTGTTCTGTGTCTGGAACGCGGCTGATAGTGGGACTAGGGACAGGGCTTTGCCCTCCAAGCGATCCCTGTCATCAGTAAGCCCATTGCAGGAGCCCTGCAGTCCCTTCAAGCAGGAAGGTGACTCAGAGGTCCTCTGGGAGGAGCCCCCACTTCTGCACTGCCCCCCGCCCCGAGGTCACTGTCTGAACCTGCTTTAGAAATGTCAGAAGGAGTAGGTGGCTTCAGGCTGGGGGTGGCTGAGAGACCCCAGACGGTTGTCTTAGAATAACCATGGTTGGAAACTGGTTGGCTTTAAAAGGGGAAGTTCTCCACCCACCCAACCAAGCATTTCTTTCCCCAGAACTAGGAGTAGGCTGGTGTTCACCTGGGGGAGGGAAGTCAGTCTGCCCTTAGCTGTCCGGACATGTGTGGAATGGGGGAGAGTGCATTGGGCCAGATCTCTGTCCTTGACACTGAGTCTCAGCCTCTTTATCTGTCAAATGGGCACAGGGATAATGCCTGCCTTTTCTCGCCCAAAGCCTTGTGGCAGGTTTCAGGGGAGAATGTACATAGGATACAATGTATCCTGAAGTAACTTTACGTGACTCTGACTTCTCCCAGAGGCCTGGGCTGCTGCCAGGTGCCTGCTTATCTTGCTCAACTCTGTTCTTGCCCTCCTGAATGCTAGATCCCTTCCCCTGCACCCTCCACCCCCAGGCTTCCTGTCCTAGTGGGCTGTCTCCGTCCCTCTCTTTCCCAGAGCAGCTGATACTGCCATCGAGGGTGGGGAGGGACATCAGCAGAGGGCCTGCCACTGGGAATGATTAACAAGGGGCCGGGTGCAGGCTGGCCCACAGAAGGGACAAAGAACAGCTGTGCTCTGGACCCAGCTCCAGGCCAGGGTTGGGAGGCCTGGTTCTCCCCACCCTGGCCCCTCGTTCTCTCATTGTGTAGGCCCAGGCTGTTGTTGGGGCTGCGGTACCAGTGGGGTCACTAGCTAGGGTGGGGGACCTCTCTTCTGCCCTAGCGCCTACATTGGGATACACATATTTCCATTCATCTCGACTGGGATCTGAGGGTAGTAATGAGGGAGGGTGGCGGAGCTTCAATCTGAAGATGGAGAGGGAGGGAAAAGGTAGAATCCCCAGCAATTAATTGTTTCTGGGAGGAGGTCACATCAGTTGTAGCCCTCTTGAAGACAGTCGTGCTGGTGGGGGAGGGGCACAGCCCTGGCCTTCTTGGGTCCTGCCCTGAAAACAAACCTGGGGCTCACGTCTTCCTCATCTGAACTGTCTGCAAGTATCCTGCAGACACAGCCTCCCGGTTTTGCCCTCACGGGTTCCTCTGCAGTTGAGGATACCCTGGCTGTCTGTGTCTCTTCCCCCACCCCCACAGACTCGCTCTGTCTGCCTGCTCTCAGCCGCTCTGCTGCCTGGAGCTGAGGATGAGGTTGCCATGGGAACCCGAAGCTCAGTGAGCAGGGGACAGGAAAGGCAGAGTTGTCTCGCCAGGGTTGGGGGCTGTGGGAGGGGACAGGGTTGACCCAGCAAGAGGAATATAGCCCATGCTTATGTCTGCCTGCCTTTTTCTGACCTGGGGTTGGGGTTTAGCAGGCAGGGGTAAGAGATCAGTGGCTCCAGAGCCCCCCTTTAATCTATCTTAATCTGATGCTTAAAATCCCCCTCCTCCTTCCAGACTGAGCTGAGTTGATGACATCCAGGCTGGTACCCCCTTCCCTTCTGATGGGATTAGTGTTCTGGCCCCAGATGGGGGCGCTGAGATCTTGGGGTCATGGTGGCTCCCAAGAGATAATGAAATGTCTGCCAGCCCCATCCATGCAGACTCCCGCTGCATGGTGGGGGGGTCTCCTGAGAGCCTCTGGTGGACTGTAGATGTGTGAACGTGGACCTGCTGGCCTTGGCATCTAGGAGATGAGCATTGCAGAGGCCTGTCTATATATTCACCACGTGTGAGGAATAACAGAGCGTTCAGGAGCCGCAGAATTGCAGAGTGGGGGCACGGCGGGTGTCTGTGTCTGGCTGACCTTGGACCACTGGACCCGGCATTCCCATTTTAACCCTGTACCTTCAGGCAAATGGGAAACTGCAGGCTGGCAGACTGGCTCCTGTGCATATGTGTTTTCTGAGCCTGCCAGACAAATGCTTTCCCATCAAATGATAATTACACCATCTTCTCTGAACTGACTCTTCAAGTTCTGGGCCAGAGCCACCCTGAAGATCTTCTCCAGCCCCCTGCTTCTGGACCTGACCTCCCTCCTATGCTCATGAGCCTCCACTTACAGACACTCTCCTCACGACATCACCAGCCCTTGATGCTATCATAATGGCTCTGATTTGGTGGGAGAGTCCTCTCCAAAGCCTCTCTCAGTTGACCTCAGATCTCTTGCCAGTCCTGCTAGAGATCTTACTTAGATCCCTCCTGCTGTTCTCCTTCTGTGCTCCGGGAACAGATTCCCAGTTGATCCTCCCTTCCCCTGGAACTCAGGAATTTTGAATGGAGCTTCTCCACTGTGGGTGGCCCTGGCTTCGTGGAGCTGGGCCAAACCTGGGACTGGGTCTACAGCCTTAGCCCCACCTTCATCCATGGAAGACTTCTGCTGCCGGCTGCAGGCACCTGTATTTGCTTTTTTTAGTCTCTTCTCTGGAGAAGGCAATGGCATCCCACTCCAGTACTCTTGCCTGGAAAATCCCATGGACAGGGGAGCCTGGTAGGCTGCAGTCCATGGGGTCGCTACGAGTCAGAAACGACTGAGCGACTTCACTTTCACTTTTCACTTTCATGCTCTGGAGAAGGAAATGGCAACCCACTCCAGTGTTCTTGCCTGGAGAATCCCAGGGACAGGGGAGCCTGGTGGGCTGTCATCTATGGGGTCACACAGAATTGGACACGACTGAAGTGATTTAGCAGCAGCAGCAGCAGCAGTCTCTTCTTTCACTCTTCCCACTGCTCAGGGAGCCACGGGCTGGGCTGATCTGGGAGGAAGGACTCAGGTGGGCAGTGGAGGCTAGGAGTTGGGGCATTTCACCTGGATCTGCCTGGTAGAATGGGGCACAGGTGAAATCACCTTGCTGTGATCCTAGGTCCAAGATGGTGAAACAGCTCACAGGGAAAAAAAGATTCGCCAGAGTCACCCCGCAAGGCAGTGGCAGGGCTGGGCTCCTTCTAGCCACTGCTCCTCTCCCATTTAGTTGGGTTCTCTAGCACCTGAGTCCTGCCCTTGACACGGGGAAGTTGTTTGATTACTGATAGCTTTGGCTCAGGATGGGGGCAGGCGGCTGGAGAACATGCCAGGCTTGATGAAACCCACAGAGGTAGGAGGGCTGCTGGTGACCAGTTCCACAGCACATCAGCCAACCTAGGTGGCTGGAAGCGGGCGATCCGTCTCTTACCTGGGGATAGCCTGTGAGTTGGGCACCAGGCCGTGGTCACAGTTGAGGCGAGGTGTGGTCAGCCAGGGCTGAGAGTGGCCCGCCCTTGGCTCCTGCTTGGAGAAGCCACCCGCCAGTCCCTGAAATCATTGGGGCCCCTGTGGACCCCCAGCCCTTTCGCATACCAGCACCTGCACACAAACCATAGTTACTCAGGGCTGCCTCTCTAGCTAGTTTTCTAGGGACCCAGAGGGGTGGGGATGGAGGAGACCTGAGTTCTAATCCTGGCTCAGCTTCAACAGCCCATGTAGGACATTTGTTTATTCAACAAAAATTTACTGAACACCAGATTTCTGTTTGGGGATAAGTCAGTGAAGAAAAAACACTGAGAACCCTCTTACCTCAGAGAACTAGTGGAGAAAAGACAGTCAACTGATGTGATAAATAATCATGAAGTCTGCTAAGTGCCCGGCACCAGCACACAGCCTCTTCTTGAGGAAATGAGGGGTTTGGACTGGATGGCCCTGGAGGTCCTGGCAGGCTTGGCTCTGAGGGCTGCCCTGGCTACTGCCACCTTCAAGCCAGGCCTTCTGGGGGATAGGACCCTGGGCTGGCCTGTGTCTGGAGGTTGGAAGGTTGGGTTCAGGGTGCTGGGTCCTGAGACATGGTTTGGGAACAAATCTGGATGCCTCCACTAGCCCTGTGCCTTGGCCACACTGTTTAACCTTTCCAAGCTGCTCTCTCCCATCTGTCAAAGGGAGACAATAGGGTGATTTTAGGAATTTGGTGAACTAGGGCATGGACACCCTTAGCACAGGGAACATCAGCCGTGGTTACAGTGTTGTTATCTATCACATGGGGACTTCTCTGGCCTCAAGCGGATCTCTCCTCTGTTCTCTGGTTAAGTTGGACCCTGTTTGCCCTTTGAAACACTGGTGCCTTTTTTCTCTCTCACTGCCTTTTCCAGAAAGCCCCCCTGTGTCTGCATGTCCCTTTCCCCTTCTGTCTCTGTCTCCCTCCCACCTTTCGTCTGCTTCATTGGTCTCCATTTCTGGTCTCAGCTAAAAGCCTTGTCCTGAGCCCGTGAGCATCTTCTCCCCTCCTGAGTGCCTGGCCCCCTTGACCTCCCTGTGCAGTAGACATGGATTATTTGGGTGATCTGAAACTCCTAGAGAATCTCCATGGCCTCCTGTGGAGTTCTTGGTGGCCACCATTCAGACCTGATGTAACTTCCCAGTTCAGCCCAGGCTGAATGAGAAACACTTGCCTCCCTGCAGCCATGGGTGGTGGGCACCATGGTCCTGATGCTGGGGTAGGGACCACCCAAGGATAAGGGGGTGAAAAGCCCAGAAGTTCCCAGCCTCTCACCTAGAATGAACCCCTACTGTGTTGTTTTCTGTCCTGCAGACACTACCCCAAGCAGTCCTTCACCATGGTGGCTGACACCCCGGAAAACCTCCGCCTCAAGCAACAGAGTGAGCTGCAGAGTCAGGTGAGGGAGTGGGGCTAGAGCTGGGGCCTGACCTGGGTGGGGCGGGGCCACCCCTGGATTTGGCAAGAGCTCCTTCCTTCTGTGGTTACTCAGCAAGGTGCTGAAATCCAAGCACTTGCCTAGTCTCCCTGCCCCCACCCCCAGTTACTTTACATTTTCTGACTTGATCAGGAAATGTAAAGTGGGCGAGAGTGTGCCCGTCCACCCCCTACCTAAAGTGGGTTGGAGGGGTGTGGGTTTCAGATTCTTTCTGCATCAGGAATTTTGTGGGAGGCCCCTAAAGCCCACCTCCTCCAGGAAGCTGGTCCCCTCTCCCTCCTGTCTTTTCACACCCATCCTCAAAGGAAGGTCCTTGGGATGGCAGTCCAGTGGTTAAGACTCAGCCCTTCCACTGCAGGGGACACGTTTGATCCCTGGTCAGGGAATGACCAGGGAGAGTGAAGTTACACAGTCTATCCTCTAGGCATGTTCCCAGCCCTCCTCTACCTGTCCTAGGGCAGGCTGCTAAGGGAGCCTTGCCCCAGGGGCCTGTCCTGCCCACGTCTCCTTGGCCTGATTTTCCTGCGCCCCTCCTCGGGGGGAGCCCTGCTTGCCACTGCAGTAGGGGAGGAGACGGGGCTCCTGCACTAGGGACAGAGAGCTGGGGCTTTAGGGGTCACTGAGGAATAAGCAAAAGGTCCAGAACCTTTCGATCAGAATGACTTACCCTGACTGGGGGTCTGAGAGAGATTCCAGGACAAACCTGGCCTGGACTGTAGGGTGGGACAGGGCAGGGCTTTAGCAAAGACCTCTTGGGGGATGTTACCAAGTGGGCAGGGTGCCCAGGGCCAGGAAAATGTCTTGGAGGATCCACCTGGGCCTCAGGGGGGATCCCTCCTGATCACTCCAGGCGGGGCTCTTGCTGCCTGATCTTGATGTGAATTCTCTGGCTCCCGGTCTCCCATTTGGTCACATGAAGGAGAACTAGCCCTGGAATGGCAAAGGCTTAACATGCATTCTCTCCTTTAATCCTCCCAGCAACCTGCAAGGAAGGTGCTGTTTTCCCATTGTACAGATGGGGAGACTGAGGCTCATAGACAGTAAGGGGCTTGCTGAAATCATACAAGTAGCAGTAGTGGTAATAACTGTATTAGTAGCTAACGTATGGAGTGCTTGGTGTTCTGGGTGTGTTAGCGTTCATGCCTCACAATAGTTCTGTGCAGTTGGCAGGATCCCTCTCACTTTACGGAAGAGGAAATAGGTGCTAATGACTTTGAATGCCGGTTTGTCTGAGACTTGTATTCTTTCCAGTTTTCCACCCAACTCCCTAAGGAGAACTATCTCTACTTTGATAATAAACATGATAGTTCCTCCTGTTGGTGAGAACTTTTATAGGTTAGCAAACATTTCAGTTACTTCACCTCATTTACCCTTGACTTGACTCCAGGCGTCAGAGACAGGGAACCAAGGCTCTGAGAGGCACTGGACTTTGCCGGTTGACGCGCACTCTCAGCTTTCAGGATCCAGGCTTTGTTTTTCTCACTCCCAAGTGCAGTGACCTTGACCTTGTGCAGCCCTGTGAGGCCAGGGGTTCGGGCCTCCCGTGTATCCCACCGTGATGGGGGAGCAGGTGCACGCGTGCGAAGTCGTGTCTGACTCTGCGACCCCATGGGCTGTAGCCGGCCAGGCTCCTCTGTCCGTGGGTTTTCCTAGGCAAGAATGCTGGACTGGGTTGCCATTTTTTTTCTCCAAGGGAGTTTCCTGACCCCTGGGATGGAATCCACACCTCCTGCGTCTCCTACACTGGCAGATTCTCTACCACTGAGCCACCTGGGGGCAGGTAGGGGAAGCTAATTTGGCTCTTAGCGCAGCTCACGTCTACCAGCCCAGGCTCCGCCACTGTTGTGGTGTGAAAGCCGCAGTCACTGTGGGAGCTAATGTGGGTACCAGAGCCCAGCTGACAGGAGGGCTGGGTGGCTCAGCTGGCAGGAAGAAGGCTTGAGATGGCACTTGGGCCTGGGCCTGATCTGCATAGGGCATGCCCTGGTCAGGCCCTGACAACCGCCCTGGGGACTCCCCATCCTGGGGAGAAGGGGCTTCATGGGGAGAGCAGGTCAGAGCATTGTGGGGTGACGGCGTGAGAGGAGTGTGGGAGTGTGTGTACACACTCAGGCAGAAGCAAGGGACCCATACACCCCCCACACACACCTACTCTCAGGAGGAGAAATTCAAACCCTGCTAACTCCCTTAGCCTTTGTCTGTCCCACAAAAGCTGGACTGCAGCTCTTTTTGCCTGTGGAACTCAATCCCTGAGGGGCGGGGTCTGTAGGAGGAGGCACCCCCTGCCCACCTCCAGACCCACCCTGTCTTCCAGGGGCCTGGCCCACTGCCTGTCCTCGGGGTTCCTGATTCTTGGGAGGGTGGGGAGGTCATGAGAAGGCCAGTCACTCTTCATGGGTCATCACAGGGGGCCGGGCCTGACCTCATTCAGTCGTCACAACCACCTTGATGATGGAGGGAGTCTTGTCCCCTTGCTACAGATGGGGACACAGGTTAGAGGCCATGCAGAGCCAGCTCCCTGACAGAAGTCAGGCCCTTTGCTCTCGGCCACCAGGGGGATGGTGCAGGGGATGAGGGTGGCGTTTAGAATGCAGAGTCCTCGGCCCCACCCAAGGGGGTTTTGGTTGCCACTTCTGGGCCAGGCCCAGGGAGTTGCACTTGGGCAGCCCTGGCAATTCTGATGAGGGCTTTTGGTCCTGTAGACCTGCTCTGAGCGGCTTAGAGCCAGGCTGTGGGGTAGAGAGGGAGGTGAGGAGCTGCTGTGAGGGGTGTGAGCTGAGGCTTTGCATTGAGACCACTGCTCTAATCTCCTGCAGTTGGGCTCTTGAGGGCTGGGGCTCGGGGCTGGGATAGGCAGAGGGTGAAGAGGGGTCCTGTCCTCTTTGCAAGTCTGGTTCTGTCTCCTGCTTCCCCAGGCTGTGTGGTCTCAGTCTCACCCCTTTGCCTCAGTGTTCTTTTCTTTCCTGGTAAGATGGGGACAGAAAGCCCAGTTGCCTAGATGTTGAGGGCTGGGCCCGAGGTTCTGAGGCTTGGAAGGGCTGAGTGGGCTTGGCTGGGGGCGGTGGGCTGTGACAGTTCTGGTTCCTGTGGCTCCTGTGGGGGCAGGGCTGGGCTGCCTGGTGTGGCGGGAAGGGAGGTGGGAAGGGAAGTGGGAGCCTCCCTACCTAGCCCGCCCCACCCGCCGGGGGTCAGCCCCTGTCTCCTTCCAGGCCCCTTTCTGGGCCTGCGTTGGTGTCTGTGTCTCTTCTGTCTCTGGGAAGTTGCCTGTGCTATTTCAACTTTGTTTTCCTATTTCTAGATTGGTTCCCAAAGTGGTACTTTCGGTGTCTGGGACACCTGGAGCCTCCCTTGTGGGGGTGGATAACCACAGGGCTGACCAGAAATGACCCTCTGGGTGGGCCCGTCCAGGCCTGGCTGAGGCAGAGCCCTGGTGATGAGGGCCTAGCAGCCCTCCACCCCCTACCCGCAGAGGGCAGCTCTCCCACCCCCAGCCCCGGGACTAGCAGAGGCAGCAGCTTTGGGGTGGGGCTGAGCTGGGGCTGTCTGTGTGGCCCTCTGAGCTCAGGCAAAAGTGAAAGGAGAAGGTCTCTTGAATTTTACCCTCATCATCCTTGGTGCTGTGCTTGGGAAATGCCATGGGGCACGTACCACAGGGTGTAGCCCTGCTGTGTGCAAAGTTCCCACTCTCTTACCTTGACTCTTAAAACCTGCAGGGTAGGCAGCATACCTGTCACTCATACCTGAGCCAGTTGAAGGCCAAATCCTGGGTCTGTCCTCAGTAGTTCAGTGACCTTGGACCAGTTATTTAACGTCTCTGAACCTTAGTGCCTTTATCTGTAAAGTACGAATCACCTCTCTCCAAAGGTTATTGTGATATATTAGGTTAGTATACATTAGGTATTTAGAACAGTTCCTGGCATACAGTCAGCACTCCGTAAATGTTCACTATTACCATTCTCCTGGAAAGGAGAGAAGCTGGAACTTGGATATGATCAAGCTGAGGAGTATTAGACCTTTTGATGACTGCTTCCAGAACTGACCTTTTTCATTAGCTCTCCTCCCCATCTGTGTGTGTTTACTCTTAAAACAATTTCTTTTTTTTAGAAGTGGGTGGGTTACATAGTATGTGGGTCAGCACATGGTAGGTACATAATAAGTAGAAATTGTTGGTATCATTTTTTTCAATATATATATTTTTAAGTTGTGATCTTTCCTCTTATGTTGGGTCAGCAAGGTAGTTGTTTTTCAACTTATGCTGCCTGTTTGGAGATTTTATTTCTGCATTCAATTCATTCATCATTTACCTAACAAAACTTTGTTGGTACCTACTGTTTGCTATGGTAAGTGATGAACAAGCTAGAATCTGGGAGAATAATTAATAAATCTATATATGAAAAGTAGAATTTCTTAGGCCCTGGTTGTTCAGGCCTGAGGGGCCTCAGGCATCACTCCCCTCTCTACTTTGGGAGTGCCCAGGGTGGGAGGCAGGCAGCATTCAGACAGGACTCCTGAGTTGCATCCTGATGTACCAACCAACAAGGCAGGTTGAGTGACCTTGGGCAGGTCACTTCCCCGCTCAGAGCCCCCTGTCACATCCTGGTGAGCCATCCCAGAGCGGGGCAAGCCCTCCAGTTTGGGTGATGAGCGAGGTTCTACATGGGGCCCTCCCCAGACTTCTGGGTCCTTGACTTTTACCTCTGCCACCTACTCCAGCTCCAGATGGCCAGAGAATCTTCCCCACCTTGATTCTCCATAGTCAGGGGCAGGTGCTTAAATATGGTCAGAAACTCCAGAACCAGGAGGACTGTTATTGATCAGCTGGCTGGCCACTCTCAGGAGATCCAGAGAGGGGGACCAACTTGCCCAGGAACACATAGCAAAGCAGTGCTGAGCACAGGCCTCCATCCTTTCTTGCCCCCTGCTCTTTCCAGCCCCGCCCTCTATGGACTGCCTGTGCCAGGAGTGAAATGAATTATCCTTCCCCAGCAGGGAGGGAGAGGCAGTTCCTGAGCCTGGGAACCAGCTGATGTCATTGTAGTGTTGCCATGACAATTATTCCCCTGGATTGGGGGCCAGACCCTCCAGAGGGCCAGGAAGTGGAGGAAGGAGTCAGGGACTGGCGTTTGTTCAGCACTTGACAAAGCACCTCTACACTTAACACTTATCCTTGCACATTGAACCCTGCCGTGTGCTTCATATATGTATTTGTTGCTCTAAAGCCCCCTATATCTTTGATTAGAATGGGTGTGTCATGATCCCCATTTTACAGATGTGGACACTGAGGCCCAAGAGGTTAAATCAGTTGCCCAAGATCACTCAGCAAGTGGGAGACAGCCTGTGTTCATACCAACTCCCTCGGGCTCTTTGCTCTTGCTTGGTGGTAGGAAGCCCCCTCTCCATTATGGACAGTCCTCTTAGAGGTGAGGAAATCAAGGCCAAAGGTCTTAGATCTGGGGCCTCTGCATCTGGAGCTATGCATTTTTGACTCTCAGTGCTTTACCTTTCTTGATGCCCGCTTCCAGAAGGGTCTCCCCACCAACCCACTCCTACCGCTAAGAGTTGCTGTGCTGACCCAGGCCTTCTTGGAAAAGCTGCTGTGGGGCAGTTCTAGGCCCTTGGGGTGGGTTGGTACCTGGACCCACTGTGTTAACTTCCAGTCTGAGGGGACCTAGCACATTCAGGCCTTTATTTCAGTCTGGGTCAGAACAAAGGAGGTTCTGGAACTTTTTAGGGACAAGAAACCCTTGTTGGATGGGTGAGCCGGGGCTCTGGAGACAGACAGGGACCCCAGCCCCTGGGGGGTGCAGAGCAACCAACAGGTGCGTGTTGTCAGTCGGGTCACGGTGCATCTCAGCCCTGAGGCCAGATGACTCCATGCCTGGGAGCGGCCTGGAAATTCCCAAGGTCCTAGGCCTTGTGTCCTGGGCTGACCTGCCTCCAGGACAGTGCAGCCTGCATGGAAGAAGTCCAGGCAGCTGGCGGGCTTTGGAACAGCTGCTGCCGAGGTGGACAGTAAAGACTCTGAAAGCCGGAGGGATAGGTCCCTGTCCCAGGGCCATTTCCAGCCTCCATTCTGTTCTTCAAAACCCTCAGGGGAGGACAGTTTTCATATTTCAGTTCCTTTACTGCTTGGGAAATCCTCTCTGAATGTCTGACTTAAGTCCCTCTAGTACTCAAGTTTCCATGGAATACTCAGAAGAGGGGGGCATTCCATTATACAGAGCGAAGTAAGCCAGAAAGATAAAGACCATTACAGTATACTAACACATATATATGGAATTTAGAAAGATGGTAACGATAACCCTAAATGCAAAACAGAAAAAGAGACTCCGATGTATAGAACAGACTTGTGGACTCTGGGAGAAGGCGAGGGTGGGATGTTTCAAGAGAACAGCATCGAAACACGTATATTATCTAGGGTGAAACAGATCACCAGCCCAGGTTGGGTGCATGAGACAAGTGCTCGGGCCTGGTGCACTGGGAAGACCCAGAGGGATTGGGTGGAGAGGGAGGTGGGAGGGGGGACCGGGATGGGGAATATATGTAAATCCATGGCTAATTCATTTCAATGTATGACAAAACCCACTGCAATGATGTAAAGTAATTAGCCTCCAACTAATAAAAATAAATGAAAAAAAAAAAAAAAGAAGAGGGGGGCATTGGAAGGGGTGGTAGGAGTCTTTCTTGGCGCTTGGAAGCCTGAAGTGCTGTCTGTCTCCCACCCATTTCATCCCCTCCCACGGTGCTGACCTCAAAAGCCAGCCTGGCAGGCTCCGGGCAGCCACCGGGGCCTGTCAAAGGCTCATTGATTGAGTCTTCCAAGTGTCTATCTTAGCGCCCTCCTTTCTGGGCACCAACTTTGTCCCTTGGCACAGCCCTCACTCAGAAACTCCCCCGGGCTCTCAGCGGGTAGGACCACATCCTGGCCAGGGTGAGGGCTTGGGGCAGTCCTTGGAGCTCTGGAAAGAACCTTCTTCCTCTCGCCGTCAGGGAGGATGAGCCATGGTGAAGGTTCAGGAGTCAGGCAGATGAAAGTTTCATCCTGTTAGCTCTGAATTTGTGCTGCTAAGCTGTGTGAGCTTGGGCAGGTGACTTTCCCTCTCTGTGGCTCAAGTTTCCTTGTCTGTAAAATGGAACTAACAATAGTCTATAGCAAGACTTAAATGACAGTTCATGTAAAGCTCTTGGCACTCGGGATACACCAAATATGAATACATATTAATAGTTTCTTATCAATGTTCTGATACTTTTTGGCCAAGGTTTCTGCCTGGAGGCGGGAGGTGGGAGTGGATGTCACTGCAGGGGGATTTCTGGTCAGGGTCTCTCCTGGCTGTTTGCTGCAGGCTGGAGCCCTGTCTGCTACCCCTGCCTCGACTCTAATCCCTCTCCACCACCTTGGTCCTCCAGGTACGCTACAAGGAGGAGTTTGAGAAGAATAAGGGCAAAGGCTTCAGCGTGGTGGCAGACACACCCGAGCTCCAGAGAATTAAGAAGACCCAGGACCAGATCAGTAACGTAAGGTTCCCCTGCTCCCCGGGTACTACCCTGACCCTGGCGCTCCCTTCTTGTCTCCTCCCCACCTGCCTGGCAGTCGTGCATGAGGCCAGTTCTGTGCCACCCCTGCCTTCCTCAGCAGGCCTGGCTGGTGCCTGCTTGAGCCGAGGGAAGGGAAGGGTTTGGGGTTCCCAAGATGCCTTTCCTCTGTGCACCCCCAGATTGTCTCTTTGATACCCTCTGCCCACATAATATTTCCACCTCGAAAGAACTGGACTTTTTTGGGGGGTATACAGGGAGGGCCTATGTGGTCAATCACCCCCTCATCCCCCACTCTCTCTGAAATCCGCCCCCCACCCCGGCTGGCTATGGTGAGGGCCAGGGTCCGGACTAGCTGTTTTGTCTGAGCACAAAGGTCAGAACTGGGTGGCAGGGGTGGGGAGGGGCCGGCCTCCCCATCAGACTGCCTCTGGGTGCTGACATTGCGGTCGTTTCCGCACTCCTTCAGCCTCCTCCCCCACCTCGGCTTGCTCTTCCTTCCTGTGTAAAAACCCCAGCTGGGTTTTGCTCGCTGGCTCTGCACCCCTTGGCCTGGCCCTCCCAGGCCCAGGGTGGTCACCAGTGTCTAGCCACGGCAAGGCTGGGTGTGCAGAGTGGGCAGTGGATCAACGCCCCTTATGGCACCTGTGGCTGGGGACAGGCCTCAGTTTCCTGCTTGGCAGAGCCATAGACTAGCAGCCTGTGGGGCCCTGGGCTTGTGGGGAGGCTGCTCAGGGGGCTTTGGGCAATGCGGGGGCACCGCTGTGAGTCACAAGCATGGACAGGGGCTGCAGGCCTGTGTGCACAGAGTCCCGTAAAGGACTGGGCAAGCAGGTGTCTTCAGGTCTGGTTCAGGGGGGCTTGGCAGGTTGCCTGGTGTCACTCTGGGCTGAGGGACTGGGGATAGAGGCTGCAGGGGGCCTGAGTTTTAGGTGGTCTGTCAGGCATCCAGCCCTCAGACCTCCTTGATCAGGCACTCTTGGAAGTGAGTTGGACCACTGTTAGGGTCGACTCACTGTGGCTCAGGTGGATGTCAGAAGCCAGGATCCGAGCCATCAGAAGTGGCCATGCCTGAGACCTTGGCTCTTAAACTTTGATCAGCATCCTGCAGTATGAAATACATTTCACGTCGTGGCCCACTGAACAGGCCTGCTGATTTATTTAAGAGAAACAGAACCAAAACTTTCAGGAAAGAGTGCTCTACCACTTAAAGGGCATTTGGATATTTTCTGTTCTATTTTAGTTTGTTAAAGATGATGGGTTTCGCAATTAGATTGTTGACCCGCAGCTTGAAATTCGTGGCTTGAGGAAATGGAGTGCTTCCCTTGGGCTAAAATGCCTCTGACAGCTGTAATCCCCCCTTCCCCTCAAACAAGCCTGTCTCAATTGCTTCTTTATAAGCCAGGGCCTGGCCTCAACCTGAGAGCTTCCCTGCCCAGAAGAAGGTGGAAAGAAGGTGTGGGTCTCAGCTGTCCTCATGGAAAACAGGAGGGAGGGGAAGCCTCGAGTAACAGGGAAGGAAGATACCGAAAACTGGACTCTTGAGTCTTTAGCCTCTGGCCTTTCATTGTGAAGACTGTTATCTTGGATACCTGCTCCCTTCCTACAACCCCAACCCCCCAGCACATTCACTCATTGTTTCCAGCCTGTGGCTTTTAGAAGGGGGAGGCAAGCCCAGTCATCCTTGTCTGCTTTTCTGGAAGGCTTCCAGAATACTCCACACCCAGCCTATTGCACCTGTACTTCCCAGCCTCTCCCCCGCAACTAGTTATTGGAGGTGTTAATGTCTGAGGAGCCCTGGTAACAACTCTTTCTGGCCAAGACACTCACACCTGGGCAGATACCATCTTATCAGTAGCCACAGGGTTGCAATGAGCTGATTGTCCTCTATCTGAGGTGGGGAGGTGACTGATGCCTGACCTGGTTCTGCTTTTGCAGCTTTAGCTGGGACCTGTGACACATGACCACAAAGCTGGAAGACTCTTGGTTTTAGCAAATGCAGTTAGTCTGTCAGCTGTGGGCTTCCAAACAGCTGTACTTCAATCACTTGAAAAGGTTGATTGAAGATACAAGCTAAAAAAAAGAAAATGCAGCCTCAGAGGCCTCTCCTCCTGGGACTGCCTGGGAGCAGAGCCCAGAAACTAGCATTAATTTTATCTCATTTTTAGGAACTACCTTTTTTTTTTTTAATGTTTGTTTATTTATTTATTTGGCTACGCTTGGTCTTAGTTGTGGCATGTGGGATCTAGTTTCCTGACCAGGAATCCAGCCTGAGTCCCCTGCATTGGGAATATGGTGTCTTCACCACGGAGCACCAAGGAAGTCTCAGGAACTATCATTTTATTTTTTAAATTATTCTTGTTGTTTTATCTTTTCTTCCATTTTTATTGAGCTGTAATTGACATACTGCACTATATATGTTTAAGGTGTCCAGCATAATGATTTGATTTACCTCCATCATGAAATGATTATCACAGATAAGTTGAGTGAATAGCCATCATCTCATATAGATACAAAATTAAAAGTGATAGAAAATAAAGTTTCTTTTTCAAGAACCAGCATTTTTAACACATTCCCTGATTTCCCTGCAGTTTGAGAATCATTACCAAGAGAGTTTGAAAAGAGCTTCACCAAAGGTGCCAGTCCTGGCTACATCCCAGAACCCCCAGGGAACTTTAAACCACCTTATTAAATTGTCCTTCCTCCAGAGAAGTTTTGGGAAAGATGATGTCTAGAGCCACACCTTCTGTTTTGTATCCAAAATAGTGTTCCTGTATGAGCTTGTCACTCACTTCCCAGGTTATCGTCAGATGCCTCCTCGTTTGTGAAGAAAATATCAAGCACTTAGTCAGAGATAAATACTGTCCATTGCTATTAATTTAAAGGTAGACTTTGCTTTCTACATGGTGGTGAAAGAAGGGACATGGACTAAAGTTGGGCTGAAAAGTTGGGCCTTTGTCTAGTACTAAAAATGCATGGAAACTTGGGAGGCAAGGTGCTAGTAAGTTAGACCTTTGTGGTGTGTAATTGACTTTTTTTTAGTTGAAGTATAGTTGGTTTACTATGTTGTGTTCGTTACTGCTGTATAGCAAAGTGATTCAGTTATACTGGGTTGGCCAAAAAGTTCATTCGGGGTTTTCCATAGAATGTTAGGGACAGAATCAAACGAACTTTTTGGCCCACCCAATATTGATCTGGCCTTTGGTCACCAGCTCTGACGGCTGTAATGGATGGGAGTATCTCTGTTTGGCTGTGCTGGGTCTTAGTTGCTGCTCACGGGCTCTCTCGAGCTGCAGTGCCCTGCTCTCCAGTTGCCGTGCACAGGCTTCTCGTTGCGGAGCAGGGGCTCTAGCATGGGCTTAGCTGCCCCACAGCACGTGGGGTCTTCCCAGACCAGAGATCAAACCTGTGTCCACTGCACTGGCAGGCGGGTTCTTAACCACTGGACCACCAGGGAAGTCCTGGATGGAAGTTTTTAATTGCTGAGTCCCTTTAACCGGGAGCCCCTGCCTTCAAGTAGGCAAGTTTTCATTTACCTACATATTTCCTCATATGTAGATTTCCTGTATACAGTTCTGGGTCTTTTTAACTTTTCCTTTTTCTGTAAAGTATAACACATAAACACCTGTGTGTGTGTTCACCATGCAAGGCAGGAAGCAGAGCATGACAGCCCCCTGTCAAAATAGAGCTTTCAAAGTGTTCAAAAAAAGACATAACTCTCATGTAGTGAGTACCTATCATATAATTAACTTAATTATGAGGAAGCAGCTGGGAGCATCTGACAGGCAGAGGTGAGGCCTAGTCTGTGAAAGAAAGCACTGGATATAATTAGGTTAGAACTGGTTAGTGTTCTGCCATTAGCTGCACAACTAGTTAATGTCCTATAGGACTGTAAAACCGTAAGCTTTGGAGATAGCCTTGCTACAGGCAGAAATCTTTTGCATTTCTTAACAGTCAAATAATTAGCAGCTCATATTTCTTAAATTAACTTAAGGCCTTATGCATGCATGCATATGTGCTAAGTCGCTTTAGTTGTGTCTGACTCTTTGTGACCCTATGGACTGTAGCCCACCAGGCTCTTCTGTCCATGGAATTCTGTAGGTAAGAATACTGGAGTGGGTTGACATGCCCTCCTCCAGGGGATCTTCCTGACCTAGGGATCAAATCCATGTCTCTTATGACTCCTGCATTGGTAGGTGGGTTCTTTGCCACCAGCACCACCTTGGAAACCCTTTAGTCCTTATAGTTTGGGCCCAATCAGTAGTTAATAGTAAAGTCAAAGAAAATTCTAGCCCCAGAGTCAAATGGCTGGAGATGGGCTTATTGGACACCTTGTATGCTTTTTTTTAAGTATGTAATATTTTTTCTTTTTTTAAAACTGAAGTATAAAAAAATAAATAAATAAAAAGAAAAAGAAACTAAAACTGAAGTACAGTTGGTTTACAATGTTGTATTAGTTTCAAGTGTACAGAAAAGTGATTCAGTTAACTTTTTCCAGATTCTTTTCCCTTATAGTTTATTATAAGATATTGAGTATAGTTCCCTGTGCTGTAACAGTAGGTCCTTGTGGTTATCTATTTTATATTTAGTGGTGTGTATATGTATCGCAAACTCCTCTAATTTATCCCCCCTCCATAACTATGCATTTCTGAATATTATAGTTTTGTTTTCCCCAATTTTGAACATACAGTATTTTTGTGTTTGTCATATCCTTGGGGCAACACTGGGTTTAAAGCATCATGAAGCTATAGTTTATTCTTTTCTGTTGTTGTGTTATATTCCGCTTAAGCTGCTTATCCCACGTTTTGTTGATTCTGGGGTTGGTGGCATTTGGATTGCTTCCGTGTCTGTGGACAGCTTCATGCATATTTCCTAGTGTTAACGTGGAGGGCAATTGTTGGATCTTGGAAGCTATGTTCCCTCAGCCTTACCAGATAACGCTGAAATACTATTCAAGCAGTGGTATTGATTTACCCTCTCGCCATCACTGATGAGTTTCCGTTGCTCTGCATCCTTAGACTTGTTCAATTTAGCCATTCTGATTGTGTGTAGTAGTATCTCATGGTTTTAACTTGCATTTCTGTTATTAGTAATGAAGTCGAGCACAGATTTAGATTTGTTTTAAAAAGAAAATACTGTTAGTCTCTCATAGGGAGGCACAGCATTACTTGTGGTGGTTAAGGTGGTTAAGAACTAAGGAGCTGATGGCAGGACTCATTTATGCACCTGTTACCTACCTCCTGAGCCTTGGTTTCCCTGTCTGAAAAATGGGGATGATCGTAGTACATTGTTCTTGGGCTGGCTGAGAAAAGGAAATGAGTAATGCATATAAGGGCACCACAGAGGTCTGCAACAAATGGAAACATTGTTAGAAAAACCAGACCTTGGCTGGTGAGTTAATTATTCCATCCAGAGCCTGATATTCCTTTCTTGGCTGTGATGTGGAATCATGTGGGAGCAAGTGTGGAGTCAGACCTTGGTTTTCCACCACAATCAGGAAAGAAAACACGGGTTCAAAAAACAGACCATCAGCTGGCAGAGAAAATGCTTTTTCCATAGCTTTGGAATGGACCCTCAACGAGTCATCCTGGAGTCCTGGCTGGCAGGGCCCTGGGTGAGTGGGGAGGGTCCTCAGGGGCCTGGACCCCTCCACCTCCGTGCACTTGGATCTCCAGGTGTCCTTCCTTGGGGTCCCAGGACAGTTTTCAGCTGGGCCTCTGCTGACGTTTCTGAGCTTATGGTGACCCCTTTTCAGGGCACTTAGATGACTGGAACATTGCTGAGCCTGGGACTGAGATCAACTAGGGCCTTGGCCTCTGATAAGTGTTTATTTCCCTTTTGGATGTGCTCACACCCTTTAAGGTGCCTCTTTGCTTCTCAAACTATTAGGTTGATCAGCAAAGTAATAATAGTTTCCTTGTTTCCTGTGCAGGGGAGGGAGAGGAAGTTGAGAGGACTGAAATTTTATCAGGTGGCCCCCCGGGGCGGGAAGGGAGCTGCAGCCTCACTTTTCTCAGTCCACTTCCGTTCTGCGCGGCCGCTCCTGACTTCAGTGCCTGGCGCCCCTTCTCTTGAAGTTAGGGTGACCTTGTGATTACCATCCCTTTTGAAAGCAAAAGGGAGTGCTATTCATATTTATTCTAGAAGACATGAACTGGGACCAGGGGCAGACTTGGGCGTGTGTCACCCTGTCCCAGGAAAGGACCCGTCCAGCTGTGGCTTTGTCCTTGTATCACCAGCTTTAGCCCTGACTAATGAAAGTCACTTCACTTCTGTAAAATGGAAATTAAAGTGTACCTATGGGACTTTTTTTTTAAGGGTGATTATTGTCAAGGCCAAGGGAGATTATATGCAGAGAACTCAGTGTGAAGAGCTGAGTCAGGGTTATCACAGTGAGCAGGTGGTTCCTTTATCGGTGGTGGGAAGGGTTCTGCTGTGTTCAGGCTGCCACTGCTATGTCCACCTGGATCAGCTGGCCCTGCGTAGAGTGGCTTTTTAAGGAGCAAGATGGATCCCATCAGCCACTTGTGGAAACGAACACACGTCCAGACTTGCTTTCAGCTCTAGGATTTGGCTAGGTTCCTAGAGGTAGTTGGAAGCCTTAGGACCGGACCACATGGGAGCAGATGGTGCCATGGCCTCTTTTTAAGATAAGGAAATTCAGGCCCAGAGGGGATAGGACTCTTCCAAGTTCACATGAGCAAGTGAATGGCTCGTGACTCTAGGGGTGCGGTGTGGGGGGGACGTGCAGTCCTCCATGAAGGACTGAGTCTACAACGTGACGGGGGATGGGACCCAGATGTGCTTCTTCCTCCAAGAGTCACCCTTTCACTAATACAGACAGAGCCGCATCCTGAGAAGTAGACTGTCAACCAGGATAGTGGGGGCCTGCCCCTCAGCCCACGTCCTGGCTCTTTCAGGGCCCGCGGCAGGCCTCTGTCTGCCTCCACGTGGTCACTAGCTCCTGGGGTCAGGCCTCTTTTCATTACCAGAAAGTAAACACGGGAAGCTCATCTTTCCCACCCCCAGGACAGAAGTCAAAAGGGCAGTTGCCTTGAGAGCCTAGAGGCGTCTCCTTGTCCCCACTCCCCCGCTACTCCTTGCCAGAGGAGGGGGGCTCACTGAGTGGGCTCAAGAGAGACTCACCTTTTGCCCTCGTCTTAGGGATCTGAGAGCAGGATGCTGGCCCTTGACCTTCACCCCTGGGTGTTCTACTTTATGGGAATTTGGGGATCTGATGGGTTTTCAGCCTGACCAGGGCCAGCTGTCTCCCTCCCCTTCAGGAACTGGCTCGGTTTATTTTGCTCTTTGGGTGTGGGTCCTTGCTTGGGCCTGAAGGAAAGGGGCGAGAGGAGGAGGGGGGCTCATCCTGCCCAAACCCCTAAGTGAGGCACTCCCTGCCTCCCCACCTGCCCATCCCAAGCTGTGCTGCTGCCCCACCTGTTCTCCCAGCCCGGGCTGCAGTAAGTCACCATCATTCAACAGCGGAAGAGCAGCAGGGAGATGCGGGTGGGCCCAGTCGACCACCCCTGCAGACCTACAGCCCGGCTGTTCCTGGCTGAGTTTTAGCTCTTGCCCTCCTTACAAAGCGGATGCGAGAAAGCAGCAAAGAAAGTGAGAAGGGGTGGACCACGGGAGCACCTGGGCTCAGAGAGCTGGGTCAGGCAGGTTCCTGAGCGCAGAATTGCAGGAGCGCAGAATTGCAGGTTCCTTCTGCTCCTGGAGGCAGGGCAGGCTTGTCCCCTCCTTACCCTGTCCGCCTCACCCTGCCTCCTTTTCCACTGGGAGCAGCGCAGGGCAGGATCCTAGTGAACCAGAAGTGAGAACCAGCCTCCAGGCCGGTGGTGGTCTGAGATCTGGAGAGAATTCAGGCCTGGGTCTGCTCAGCACCAGACCTGTTTTCTGTGTCCCCCTTTCTGAGTTTCCTCTGGGGGTGGGTACTCTTCGTCACTGGCTCACTTCCTCCACCAGCCCCAGCCCGGTGCTCCCGGAGCGCTAACCATGGACCTTCCACCTCTCCTCGGTTGCTTGCTTCCTTCCCCCTATCCTCTCTGAAAAGTCAGTAGGTCCTCAAGGTGGGGTGTGGGCATGTTGCCACTGGGAATGCAGGCAGAAAATCCCAGAACTCCTGATGCTGGTTCTTTTTCATCCTTTGTTTTATTCATATTTGTGCATTTTACACCCAGATGTGTATAGACATTCCATGTGTGTAAAGTGGTACTTGTGTGTAATTTATACAGTAGGTGCAATTTGGGAGGATTGTGCTGAAACAGATATTACCAACAGGAATATTTGGGCAAATAGGGGACAGCAGACTTTTTCTGTAGAGCTCCAGAGAGTAAATGTTTTAGGCTTTGTGGGCCAAAGGGCCTGTCAAAGCTACTCAGCTCTGTAGTGAGAGCAGCCAGAGATAATATGGAGATGAATGGGTGTGACTATTCTAGTAGAACTTTATTTCTGGACACTGAAATTTGAATCTCATAGAAATCTCATGTGTTACCAACCTTATTCCTTTTAACTCTCCCCACAGGCTCCAAACGTTACTAAACATAGTACCTGTTTTTAGCTCATATGCAGACCATGAGCAAATGGGCTGCGGGCTTATGGACCAGAGTTTGCCAACCTCTGCTCCAGATCACTGGTTCTCAAACTTGAGCCTTCAAGGCCCAGACTCACCTTGGGGAGCTTTTAGAAGTGCGTAAGTCTGTGTGTGCTAAGTCGCTTCAGTCATGCCTGACTCTTTGTGCTATGGATCGTATACCTACCTTATGGACTGTAGGCCTGCCAGGCTCCTCTGTGCATGGGATTTCTCCAGGCAAGAGTACTGGAGTGGGTTGCCATGACATTCTCCAGGGGATTTTCCCAACCCAGGGATCAAACCCATGTCTCCTGCGTTAGCAAGTGGGTTCTTTACCGCTAGCGCCACCTGGGGAGCCCCTTAGAAGCGCATATTCCCTCCAAAAGAAAGAATAAAGGTGCACATTCCAAAATCCCAACCCTGATACTGTAGATTCTATGGAAGGTACTGGAACCTGGGTTTAGCAGATAGTCTGAAGACCAGACTTGAAGAACACAATTCTGGGTCCTGGTGGTCCTTGGTGAAGACCTAAGGTGTGTGGCTTCTTCAGGTCTCTTTTTGCCCATTTTTTAACCCGAGGAGAGAAGGAACTCATCTTCCAGATACTGACATACCCTCGGAGAGGGCTGGGCATTTCTTGTCCTGCAGGCTGGGGAGTGGAGTTTTATGAGGTCACACCCACAAGGGGCAGAATCGCCTGCTGGTTAAGAGTACAGGCTCTGAAATCTCCGTGAGCATGGGTAACTCATGTTGCTTGTCAGTGCTTTAGTCTCCTTCTTGTCTGTACTGTACCCCCGTACAGGTGCTGACATGGTAAGACGAGCCTGTGGTGCAGAACGCCTGGCATAGTGCCTGGCACCTAGCAGATGCTCTAAACCAGAGTCACTGCTATGGGCCAGGGTGGACGCGGGGCAGCTCCAGCCCTGCCACAGGGACATAATACTGACTGCTTACATTCGTCTGGTGCTTTCACTTACATTCATTCCCTTCTGAGGGGAATGGCAACCCACTGCAGTGTTCTTGCTGGGAAAATCCCATGGACAGAGGAGCCTGGCAGGCTACAGTCCATGGGGCTGCAAAGAGTCAGACACAATTGAGGCACTAATACTTTAGCTTACATGGTCCTTTTACATCCACATCTCATTGCATCCTCCAGCAACCCCTGAGGGGAGATCCTGATGCTCACCTCTGTAAGGTGGAAACAAGGCTTGGCGAGGTTAAGTGCTTGCTTGAGGGCAGGGCGCGGCACACCCCTGATGAGAACCTGGCTCTCTCGGCCTGGAGTCCTGCAGGAGTCTTTCCCATCCCGGGATCTTGAGTGGCAGTGGAAAAGGGGAGCTTTGGTTGGCTTGCTGTGGGTCCTTCAGCCAGTGCTTTCTGTCCTTGCAGATAAAATACCACGAGGAGTTTGAGAAGAGTCGCATGGGACCCAGTGGGGGTGAAGGTCTGGAGCCTGAGCGCCGAGATCCCCAGGAGAGCAGCTACCGGCGGCCCCAGGAGCAGCAGCAGCCTCACCACATCCCCGCCAGCGCCCCAGGTGAGTGGGAGGGCTGTGGGGAGGAGGTGAGAGGGAAGCCTCGAGTACACACACACACACACACACACAGACACCAGGTCCATCCCTACCCAGGGCATGAACACACACACACGCACACTCACCAGGTCCCATCCCTACCCAGGGCATGAACACACACACACGCACACTCACCAGGTCCCATCCCTACCCAGGGCATGAACACACACACACGCACACTCACCAGGTCCTATCCCTAAGGGCATGAACACACACACACACACACACACTCACACACACCAGGTCCCATCCCTACCCAGGGCATGAACACACACACACACACACACTCACACACACCAGGTCCCATCCCTACCCAGGGCATGAACACACACACACACACACTCTCACACACACCAGGTCCCATCCCTACCCAGGGCATGAACACACACACACACGCACGCACGCACGCACACACACACACACACACACACACACACACACACACCAGGTCCCATTCCTACCCAGGGCATGAACACACACACACACACACACACACTCACACACACCAGGTCCCATCCCTACCCAGGGCATGAACACACACACACACACACACACACACACACACACACACACCCCAGGTCCCATCCCTACCCAGGGCATGAACACACACACACACACACACACACACACACACACACACACACCCCAGGTCCCATCCCTACCCAGGGCATGAACACACACACACACACACACACACACCCCAGGTCCCATCCCTACCCAGGGCATGAACACACACACACACACACACACACACACACACACACACACACACACACACACACACCCCAGGTCCCATCCCTACCCAGGGCATGAACACACACACACACACACACACACACACACACACACACACACACACACCCCAGGTCCCATCCCTACCCAGGGCATGAACACACACACACACACACACACACACACACACACACACACACACACACACCCCAGGTCCCATCCCTACCCAGGGCATGAACACACACACACACACACACACACACACACACACACACACACACACACACACACCCCAGGTCCCATCCCTACCCAGGGCATGAACACACACACACACACACACACACACACACACACACACACACACACACACACACACACCCCAGGTCCCATCCCTACCCAGGGCATGAACACACACACACACACACACACACACACACACACACACACACACACACACACACACACCCCAGGTCCCATCCCTACCCAGGGCATGAACACACACACACACACACACACACACACACACACACACACACACACACACACACACACACCCCAGGTCCCATCCCTACCCAGGGCATGAACACACACACACACACACACACACACACACACACACACACCCCAGGTCCCATCCCTACCCAGGGCATGAACACACACACACACACACACACACACACACACACACACACACACACACCCCAGGTCCCATCCCTACCCAGGGCATGAACACACACACACACACACACACACACACACACACACACACACACACACACACACACACACACACACACACCCCAGGTCCCATCCCTACCCAGGGCATGAACACACACACACACACACACACACACACACACACACACACACACACACACACACACACACACACACACACACACACACACACACACACACACCCCAGGTCCCATCCCTACCCAGGGCATGAACACCAGGGTCAGGGCGGTGCTGGCCCCCGCTGTGATGGGGAGGATGCAGCTAGGACATGTCAGCAGCATGTGTGCAGACAGACAGAAGCCCTTGAGAAGGGGGGGTTGAGAAGCTTGTGGGGTTGGAAATACATGACATGGTCTCATGGAGGAAGGGAGGGGGCTCGGGGCGGGTCTGGGTTTGGCAGGACAGGCCCTGAGCCGGTCTCCCGCTGGCTTCCAGTGTACCAGCAGCCCCAGCAGCAGCCGGCAGCCCAGTCCTATGGCGGCTACAAGGAGCCTGCAGCCCCGGTGTCCATACAGCGCAGCGCCCCAGGCGGGGGCGGGGTGAGTGGCCCTGGCGGAGGGAGGTTTGGGAGGTGGGGTGAGCCTAGGGAAGGCTTCTTGGACGTCCCTTTAGAAAAGACCCTTCTTGGACACCCTTTTTTTGTTTTGTTTTGTTGTGTTGGACAGCCTTTAGAAAAGAAGGCTGGGACAATTCTCAGAAAAATAAAGTAGCCTGAGATAAGAGACCTGCTGGGGCCTCAGGCTCCAGATGCACAGTGAGGGAAGGAACTGTCAGTGCTGTCTGGAGTGTCTGGGTGTCAGTGCTGGGTGGGTCTGAGAGGTCATCTGGAGGCTAAGGTTCCAGATAGACCAGCCACTACTTCAAATACTTACTGAGCAAGTTCTGGACAGAAGGGATTTGTTGTGAGGGCAGTTCACCTTCCTGCCCTCTCAGGAACTTACATTCCAGTCAGGGAGACAAACATGAATAGATAAGTATGTATGTGGCAAAAGGTCATAGATAAGCCCTGAAGAAAAAGACAGCAGGGTGAGAAGGGGAGGGGGCAGCAAAGGGCTCAGTAAAGGAATGAGTGGTGAACAGCAAGTGTCAAGGCCCTGAGGCGGGAGAGTTCTAGGAGAGTTCAGAGATCTGCAGGAATGCCAAGGTGACTGGAGAGGGACAGGTCTGATCACACAAGGACTTGCAGGCTTCCGGCTTCCTTGGTGGCTCAGATGGTAAAGAATCTGCCCGCGATGCAGGAGGCCCAAGTTCAATCCCTGGGTTGGAAAGATTCCCCTGGAAGGGAATGGCTACCCATTCCAGTATTTTTGCCTGGAGAATTCCATGAACAGAGGAGCCTGGCAGGCTGCAGTCCATGAGGTCGCAAAGAGTCGGACATGACTGAGCGACTAACACTTTGCCTTTCAGGCTGCCGGGAGGCCATCATGACTGGCAAGCTGTGCAGAGTAAGGGCTTTGACTTGTGTTTTAGAAGCTGGCTTCAGCAACTGTGTTGAGAAGCAGCAATAAAAAGTTGAGGGTGGAAGCAGGGAGATGAGTTGGGTGGCTGTTACAGGATGCAGGCGTAGATGGTGGTGACTTGGCCCAAGAGATTAAAGGCACAGTTGGTGATAAGGACTGAGGTCACTTCAGTCATTCCATGAGGGTTGTGACCTTTTTTTTTTTGGTGGTGGTTTCTAATATTTATTTTTTTGGTTATAAAAGTAGTGCATGAAAAAAAAAAAAGTAGTGCATGAAGAGCATTGGATTGGGAGAGGTTATGAATCAATCCTGCAGGAATTAGATAGGTTACTTTCTCAGAACCTGTGTTTCCTCATCTGGAAAGCAGGATAAGAAGCCTGGAGGGTTGTGATCTCTTATTCCATAGTCTTTAGGGCTGATGAAGCTGGTTTCTGCTGCGCAGTGGGGGGTGGGGGGAATTTGAAGTTTTGTGCTAAATAGGATAGGGGGCCTCTGAAGGGTTTAAAGCCAGGAAGTAACTTCATCAGGTTTGCAGTTTGGAAAGTTCCTCCTGAGATCACAATAGATGAACAGTGGGAGGAGGCAGACCAGGGGAATGGAAACAGAATGTCTGAACAGGGTCTTGAAGGTGGGGTGGGGTGGTGGGGCAGATTCTGATTTCTGATGGATTCATCCAGCCTTGGACCCAAACGGATCCCAGAACCTGGCCTGGGGGACCCTAAAGGCTAAGCTGACTCCCAGAGACAAGTCAGTGTCAAGGGCAGTGATGGTCAGAAGACGTTAGAATCTTGCCTGCTTCCAAGATCACAGTTGGATTTCATGTGTTTTTACTGGACATTTCCTAGAGCTGGGGTTTAAACACAAGACTTTGGCTGAGGTTGGAAGGTGGGACCTGACAGGTACCTCTTGTATCACCTGGAGTTTTTTCTCCCAGGAGTTGGTCTTTATCCTGAACTTAAGAACCAGATTCATCAACAGCTTCAAAAAAAAAACAAAACAAGACTGGTGTTTATAATAATACAGATAATAGCACGCAGGGCAAGTCATAATTTTAAACTCAACCCAGCATGATGTCCACTGGACAGTACTGTATTCCTGTTCCGAGAGACGGGGTGGAGGTATTGTAACCGCCGTCCCTGTTTGTGTCTGGCCCTTAGGAGGTGCCAGATACAGTGTTAATAAGGTGATCGCTCTCAGAAAGTGTGACACAGAGGTGAGAAAACCTGAGGCAGAGCCTAGCCCGTCCTTGTCTCCCAGCTCCTGGTGCCCTCTGCTCCGGGGCCCCAGAGAGGTAGGCACCCTGACTGACCGCGCCCCCACCCCTGCAGAAGCGGTACCGTGCTGTGTACGACTACAGTGCTGCCGACGAGGACGAGGTCTCCTTCCAAGATGGGGACACCATCGTCAACGTGCAGCAGATCGACGACGGCTGGATGTATGGGACCGTGGAGCGCACCGGTGACACGGGGATGCTGCCAGCCAACTACGTGGAGGCCATCTGAGCCCGCCGGGCACCGCCCGCCCCACCCGTCTTCAGTGCATTCCACAGCATCGCGTCTGTCCTGGGCGTGACCTGTCCACCCTTCGGTGTCTCTGTTTTTTAAATTCTGCAACAGCTTGTTTGTCCTCCCCCTCTTCCAGCTTCTTTTGCCAACCGAAGCCTTGTTCTGCCACTTTCGCGGCTCCCCTTCTGGCAGGTTTTTCCCTTGACCAACTTCTTGGTTTTCTCTCTGGATGGAACACGTGTGAACCGCTCTGTGGGAGGCCAAGGCCTGTGGGGATGGTCTGGGTGGGCGACCCGTTGGCTCCCAGGCCTCTGCCTTCTCTCTTTTCTGCCCCCTCAGCCCCTCCGCCCACCTCCTCATACATCCAAACATTCCAGGACTGAGGTGAGCCCCAGACCCCCAGGACTCCCAGAGGAGGGGCTCCACACATTCCCAGGAGTGGGACCCTGCTGCCCGTGCCCTGGGATGGGGGTGGGGGTGGGGAGGGTGCTGCTGTTGTGCCAGTGAGGTGGGCTCTGCCTCTGCGTCTCAGAGATGGGGCTGCCGGCCCTCCAAGAGGTCCCCTCACCACCGTCTTCCCGCTCAAGGTGGACAGAGGCGGTAAAGTTCCTGCTTTGGTGTTCATTCATCCTTCCCCACGGTTCCTTTTCACACTGTGATTTCGCTCTCCCACTCACCCGGGCCTGGTGTGGGCGAGGAGCTGGAAGCTCGGCTTGGGTCCGCGTCTCACCTTTCTGCTTTAGGGACAGCTGCAGGAAAGAGGGGAACGGGGTGTTCTCTTCACAGCCCTTTTCTCTCCTTCCCACTGAGTCTCCAGGATCCCTGGCTTGCCTCCTCCTGAAAGATGGGGCAAGGAAGCCTCAGGCCTCTCAGCCGTGCAACCCAGCCCCTGAGACCTAGTTAGATGGGCCGCTCCTCCTGGGAAGGCAGCTTGGGGCCTTCCATGGCCTCCCCCCATCACACACCACCTGATCTGACCCCAGGGGGACTGGACTGTTCGAAGCCACAGCCCGCTCTGCATCTCCACGGCTTCCTTGAGGGGGAAGGAGTGGGTGTCTGCAGGTGTCTGTGACAGGCGAGTGTGCGAGCGAGTGTGAGAGAAGCAGCCAGGCTGCGGGCTTTCAGGAGGGTGCACAGAGGGAGGTCCTTGAGGGAGAGAAGTTCCTTATGTTTTCTTTGGAATGAGAATCCCTCCTTTCCTTCTATCCCTGGATGGAGGAAGCCCATCACACCCCTTTCCAAAGTGCAGAAGTGAGGAGGGAGTGTGTACCTGACAGAGGCTGATGTTGGGGCCTGTAGCGTGGTGGAGGAGTGGGGAGAGGAAAGACTTCATGACTCCAGGCAGATACTTTCCCCCCATGTCTGTGTCCTGGGCTGTAGATAGGGAGCCAGGGGACCCTGTGTCACCTACACTGAGTTCTCCCATCTTCCTTCCCACCCTGCCCTGCCCCCAGCTGGCCCATTTACCTAAAGTCTCCTTGAAATAAAGGGAGAGAGGGTCCCAGGGCTACGAAACTGGAAGCGCAGACCCGAGTTGAGGAAGGGAAAGATGGTGCTATCTCCAAGTCCCTTCTCTCACTCGTGGGTGGCTGTGACCACCTTTGCCTGATTTTATTCATCTCTGGGCTTTCCTGTCACCCTTCTGGGTCTCCCCTTCCCATATTTACCCCAAGGCCACTGACTCAGGCCCTGTTGTTGCCATCTTTGCATCCTTCTGCCCTGCAGGAGATGGAGGGGCCTACAGGCATGTTTAACATCTAGTCCTCACTGCTTGTGAGCTGGCTTGGGAATATTTACCCCAGATCAGAGGTTTGAGCCCCTGCCTGACTGACCAATCTCTTTCCCTCCTTGGCCACAGCCACGGTGAGGGTGGGTGGAGAGTCTTATATTGGGCAGTGTGGGGGATGAGGGAGGCAGAGAAGGAACGATTTTGGGAGCCGTGGGCAGACGCTAGTCCATTCTGTTTCCTCTTAATCTCAAAGCACAATGTGGATTCTGGGACCAAATGTCAGAGAGACATATCCTGTTGGAGAACCTGTGGTTGGCAGGGAAGTGAGAGGCTGGGAAGGGGGGCTGGAGAGCAAGAAGTAGCCTGTTTTCACTCAGCTTAATTTTTCTTCCAAAACAAGGCAAGCCAGCCACTGGAATCTTGCTGCCAGCCCTTGGTTCCTCCCATCCTAAAAATAGGGGACCTTTTCTTACACACCCCCAGAGAGAGGAGGGACTGTCACACTGGTGCTGAGGGATCTAGGGGCTGCTGAGAGTCCTTATTCCTTTCCAGAATCATCCATCCCTAGCAGAGCACAGAACCTGAGGGCTGGACCGAGTCCCTGGTCTTTTCTTACAGTTCACAGAGGGTTGTTTTTTTTTTAGCCAATCTAATCCCAGGAAAGAAGATGCAACAAAGCTAGAATGTGAATATAACTTTAGTGGACCAATAATAAAATGCAAGAAGCCCAATGGTGAGAAAAGTGAATTCTCTCAATATTGCTTCCTGTTTTCTTCCTCATGTCCCTCCAGGGAAAACTACTTTATTGCTTAATTTCTGCCTTTTCCCCCTCACATATGCACTTTTGGGCCTTTTTTTTTTTTTAAATAGCTGGAAAAAAAATACCACCCCACAAACCTGTATTTAAAAAGAAATAGAAATGATCACATGGAATTTGCTTCTGTCCAAACATTTCATCTGTGTGTGTGTGCGTGCGTGTGTGTGTGTGAAGCCGTCCATTCATCTTTTTATATGGGGTGGTTGTCTTTTCTTGGTCTGTTTTGGTCCCCTCCCTCGTGGGCTTGTGCTTGGGATCAAATCTTTCTGGCCTGTTATGATTCTGAACATTTGACTTGGACCACAAGTGAATCTTTCTCCTGGTGACTCAAATAAAAGTATAATTTTTACCTGCGGACTTGGCTTGCTCTCTCTGGTCTTCAGGTGGTGTGTGTGTGTGTCCTGTCTCCTTGGGGGCATTTTAGACACACTTTTTTTCCCCTTTGACTTTATGAACAGCCCTATGAAAGAAGTAACTGCTTGATATCCATCTTACAGATGGGGTTCCCTGAAGCCCAGGAAAGCAGTGGTTTGGTGGGAGTCATGCCAGCTAGTGGCAGGGCTGGAGGTCTCAGGACCCCAATGTGATGCTCCTGGCCTCCTGCCGTGACCTTGACAGGAACCCTGCACCCACACGCTTTGCCCTCACCTCACAGTATCTCCCAGGCTCAGTTCTTTGCTCCAGGTGCATTGGGTCTGAACTTTGACCAGGTCAGGCAGCCTGCCTCCCCTCTTCTGCCGGGTTGGGAAGAGGAGGTGGCAGAGAAGGAATCCAGATCCTTTGTCCGCAGCTCAGGGGCCACCAGTCAGCCTTGTGCTGCGGCCTTGTGGAGAGCGGCGTTCTTCACCCCGGGCGCAGAATTCAGGCTTCCCCTGGCTTCAGGATAGCAGCAGGGTGCAGAGGAAAAGGGCTTTCCCCAAAGTGAGAGCCTTTGTGATCAGGAGGTGACACGGCTGTTCTGAGCAGCTGAGGCAGCGCTGGGTGGGATAATTACAGATGGTACTGACACCACGGGAGGCCTAATGTGTCCCCAGTAGCAGACATTGAGTTGGCAAATCTTGCCTCCATTGGCCTGCCCCTGTTTGCTGCAGAGCTGTAGCCCCCTCTCCCCAGGAGGCTTCATTCATTCCCCTTTTCGGGACAGTCTGCTTGGGAGGGAACCAGTGCCAAGTCTCCACTCCCAACTCACAGGAAGCTCTTGCCCTGCCTCCCTGTGCGAACCCACGCAAGCAGTTTCTAGACTCCCTTCTAAAGCAGCCTAAGTTCCTGAGGCTTAGCATGATGAAGGGGCTGCTGTTGCCCCCATCCTGTGCCCCTCAAAGGAGCTAATTAGGGTGGAGCCAAGGACACTAGGCCTCAGAGGTGTCACAGGGAACTTGCTTTTTTTTTTTTTTTGCTTTTGTTTTTTAATTTAATAGTAAATAAGGCAAAAGGCATAATAAAAACAAGGCATAACTACCCACCACCCAGCTTAAACTATGAAACATCAATTCTTTCCCCTCAGAAAAAGCCACTTGAAAAATAAGAAAAAGATATATATGTACAACTGAATCACTTTGCTGTACAGCAGAAATTAACACGAAGTTATGAATCAACTCTACTTCAATTAAAAAAAAAAAAAAGGTCACCTGAGTTGCATTTCTAAACACTTAACTGCACAGGGATGGGCCTGACCGAGAGTTCTTTAGTGCCCTCTCTGGGTATAACACTGCAATGAGCTCTGAAGAGGATATAAGAGAGGATAAGGATGTGGGAAATGACCACAAAGAGATAAGGAATGGTTGGAGGAGAGGCCTCTGATGCTCACACTGTCATAGGAAGGATCTATGCAAAATGCAAGCTGAGAAGCGCAGGTGGACCTGAGGGGATTTCAGATTGACAGGGTGGGCCGGTCTGGGGCGACAGAAGAATGTGGATTCCGGAGTGGACAAGCCTAGTTTTGAATTGGTCTCTGGCCTTTCCAGTGAAACATTAGGCAGGTTACTGATCACCTCTGAGCCTCATCTATAAAAGACTTGCAGGGAGGTTGAAATTACACCACGAATGCAATATCTGACACAATATAGGAATCCCGTTAAGTCTCAGCTCCATCCCCTTGAGATGCCATCTGAAACACACGTGAGACCTTTGTCCTTGTCCCTCCATAATCTGACTACAACGTGCCAATGGCCCACCCAGCCCCCAACCATCATTTTGAGTTCCTTTACTAAGGATTCATGAGAGGAAAAAGAGAAGAAAAGCACTCAGGAGGTATCATTCTTTGGGCACCTGGATACAGGTCAGATCTCTTCCCTATTTCCATAATATACAGACTCCATTTAGATACAAAGGGTAGGATTGGGTTCCTGGGGAGAAATTGAGCCTCTTCATTTCTGCCTGGTCTAAATCGAGCAGTTCCTTGGTTACCCGCTCCCGAGCTTTCTGATTGGTTGGGCGAAGGAGGGGAGCACG